AAAAAAAAAAAAAAAAAAGAAAAGACTCCCTCCATTTAACACTTTTGTTTTCTCGCTCGTTTTAACTGAAATGGATTGTCTCATGTATTGGTCAAACAATTTTCTCCACAAATACAAGGCATTCCCAAATTACAGCCATTATGCTAGCTCTGACAACACTTCCTCATTTTGGCAGCCCACCTATACATGAAAGTAAATCGAATCTTATTCACCTTCGTGATGCATGACTTGGTTTTTTTTCTTGTTTGTCCTTAAAAAATTGATCTCCACGGATTTTGCTAAATTTTAATTTTTGTTTTTTTTATTTTATTGCTCCCTACGAAAAATTTAATGACATCGAACGAATAAATGTTTTCCACGTTAACGACTGGACACGTGTGTAACTCAAAATTCTTATATAGACTGGAAAAATTGGAACAAAAAAAATAAGCCAACGGACAAAGAGAGGACAATTTTCGAAGCGCCCCACTTTTACACACCTGGAGGAAGGAAAACAGCTGAAAAATTCTCTTCCTTTTTTTTTTCCCCATTTTGGTGAGTCCTCCATTAAGTTTGTCACTGAACTTCTTCCCCGTATGTGGTCTGCTTGCGAGCGCCTCATCATGAGCAGCAGAAAAAGCGGTCGCAGAAATTGGTGTAATTAGTTTGGGTCTGTTCTGTGTGCCCATTTCATATTTTCTCCCTTTTTTTCCACCTCACTTTAACTCCCCTTTGGCAACATAAAAAATCTGCAACTTCCTTGGCTTGCAACTGTTCCCGTGCTTCAGGAAAAAGGGCGAAAAAAAAGGGGTAAAGATAAGGAAAACGGAAAGGACAAAGACGAAGACAGACGACGCAGCGGGGAACACAAACCTTCTACAAGTAAGGCAACAAGAGAGACGCAAAAAGGACAAGACAAGTGAAGCAAGAGGAGCGCATATATATATGTAGTTATATGCATTTATATACGTACCTATGCAACATACGTTTGTGTGCCCCTCTCCCCATGCAGGTTACAGAAGAGCCCTTGATATCTGCCGCTCTACTTAAGCAGACGAGATCCCCGCCCTTTGCGCAAAAACATGGATTACATGGTTCTTACGCGCAGGAGTTCACTTTGCTAGGCGGTAGTTAACAATTCCACTACGAATATAACTTCCCCCCTTACAAAAAAAAAGAAAAAGATATGAATATTTTTAATGCTAGATGTTGTCTTTTAACTTTATTTTTTTTTCTTTTCGAAGAAAAATTTTGCAAAAAGGGTGCCGCCTTGAGTTGCGTTTTTTCCCATGCAAATGAGGAACGTGAGGGTAGCGGAGGGACATTTGCATTGAGCAATGGGCCGATTTATTACGCCCCTAGTGGGGGGCTGGCGCCGTGCGCGGTCATCAGCAGACAGTTAAGCGGGGATGAGGAGGATAGAGGCGAGGACGACGGTGAAGATGGCGGTGAAGACAGCGCTGAGGACAGAGACGATGATGGCGGCTTGCCCGGGGGACGCTTTCCGTACGAAGAAGGAAAGAAGAGAGGCCTTATGAGCGGCGCATGCACCCACCACTTGGACGGAGATGCGGATGAACAAACCGCAGGACATGGAGGAGCGAAGCGAAAGATGAGTAAGAAGGAGGAAGAGACGGAGGATAACAAAATTGAGAAGTTGGTAAATGTGGAAATGAAAAATCTCGAGGCGGGGAAAGAGACACACGAATATCCCAAGGCAGAACCAGACAAAGAGGACGAGGGAAGTGGCCAAGGACGAAGGGCAAAGCTGAGGTGCGCAAACAAACTAAATTACATACAGGTGACGGCGAATGACCAAAGAGAGGACGACCTATCTGCCGAAAACCACGAGGAGATCGCGGCAGATTTCGTGGAAATACCCCATAGGATTAAGGAAGACATGAACGGCATGCCAACTAAGCAGAACGAAACGGAGGAAGCATATGACCGTATTAACCCAGGGGAAAAAGAAAACAACGCGAACGAGTTAAAATTTGTGGAGGGGAAGGCCCATATGCAGGAGGGAGAACAGCACAGAGAATATTCGACTGGCCCAATAGGGGAGCGAGAAAAACAAAGGAGTAGTAGTCCCCCCTCCAATGGATATACCAAAAACAGTTTTGTCGACCTCAAGATTGTGGCTGATAAATTACCCCTTAAACTTACTAACAAGGTTGGTAGCTCCCTACGCCACAAGAGATTGGAGAAAACTGTTCATAAGCACTTACCCTGGTCTTTCCTGGCGTCCGATTCAGGTTCCAATCGCGGGCCCTGGAAAGACGTGAGCAGAAGAACCTACAATACGAGTCCATTCAGTTTCGCCTCAATACATACTCTTAATGCTTTGCACCTAATGCCGATGAATTTTCAAATCCAAAACTCCGTCATGAAGTTAAGTGATGAGGCGTACGACGAATTAAAGCTTAAAAGCAGTGTCCAGGTGTATGAGAAAGATGCATTGGTCGACTATAACTATGAGAATTTTGAGGTGAAGGAAGGGGAAAAATCTAATGATGGAAAGGACATATATAAGGAAAAGGATGGGGAGGGGGGTTCCGATGGGGAGAACGGTTCTGATGAGGAGGGAGATGCAGATTCGAAATCAGATCAGAACAACGGTTCGGATGGACGTGGATTCTTCGATGGGACCTTGTTCACCTACGCCATTTACATTTTAATAGGTGTTATAATTCTGCTTCTAATTTTTGTCATTTATTACTACGACTTAATAAACAAGGTGAAGAGGCGAATTAGTTCAATGCGGAAAAATAACAAATCTATGACCATCAAGAATGACACTTCCGCGGGGATATACGTGGACGACGCCTACATGGAGAGTCGCCACGTTTGACGCGGGGGGGGGGGATGGAAGTGCCCCTATTGTGCCATCACCATTGTGGAGCTGTGTGGACACCGTGCGCGCATTTTTCGTTCATACAATTTAGTAGCACGGGCGCTCAACCGAGGCGCCTGCTTTAAACACCCCTTGTTTGTACACCTCTCGATGTTTACCTGCACATGAGTACACATTTCTGCCGACACTCGTGTGCCGTTCACGCTTTTTTTTTCTCTTTTTTCTTTTTTCTGTTCTATATTTTAATGGACAATGTTACCAATTGGCGACACGCCAAACGGGGATGTAGTGTGCATTAGCCATAAAAAAGGAAAAAATAAATTTATTGTTTTCGCCAAAGTGTGCTCCCTCCACCATCTGGATTTTAACGACGTAGAGTCGACGGCTTTGTCGCCAAAAGGGTACGTATCTGCTTTTCCCACCTCTCCTCGTTCCCTGCCCCCTTCGAAGTACAATTTTTCACTTAAAAAATGCGGCCATAAGATACCAACCGTGGAGAACCTTCACCCGTGAAGCGCGTTTATAGGATAAACATTCGCGACGAACAGTTCAGTTCAACTTTTACATGATTGGAGAAAGCCTTCCCTACCTTTTTCTTACTCCATGTCCACTTAACATTTTGTGTCACCCCCTTTTTGGGGAAAAGGTTCACTCGTCCCCTTGTGTACACACAAAATAACTACATGTATGGGTGGTAACGACGTGGTTTGCTTGGTGAAGTGTTGCCTCACCGTTCTGCGAATGAAGTCCATTTTGTTGCAAAAATATGTTGCCCCCAATTGAAGAGTGATATGCCCCTCCTCCCGTCGGATTTCCCCCCTTTACGGGAAAATTTCCACGTGGGGAAAAATAACCCAGTAAAGGGGTGAAAGCACCACGCTTGGAGATATATCACATGGTTGTGAATAATCAACATGTTCCCTAACGTAGTCGCATGTGCATATATGACGGGATTGGTTATGCCCCGGGTGTGTGTATGTGGTGCAATTACACAGTGGTCCAGAGATACCACACGCACACACCTGTGCAGTTGTGATGCGATCTGTATAAAGTGTTAAGTGGCTATTCCCTACAAACGGAACCTTTGCAGAAAAATGGGGGGGGGCACATATTTGGTGGAGATCAAAACTGAGAAAGGATCCACATGGATTACGGAAGCATATGCATGCGGTAGGGGCGTGCATAGTAACCTCCCATTTCCTTGATGGAGCACCACACTAGGGCGTTGGCGTTTTCACTCATTACGGGAAATTTCGCAATCTCGTACCCCTTTAGTTTCGCTAGCAGGAAACCTTTTCTTTTATGCGTTCCCTTGAATTAACTCATGGAGGGAAGAAAAAAAAAAAAAAAAAAAAAAAAACCAAGCCAAGTTATCCTCCTTATTTCTCCTCAATGCGGAACACCTTTTAACAACGTTGTTTTCCACGACCTAGGGGGAACAACTATTAGGCAGGGCAAAAAAAAATAAAAAAAAAACCCAAACGGTACCAAAATGGCCGTGAAGCAAATGATGTTATCACCATCACGCATAAAAATGTAGGGCACCTACGTTGAGTTGTAAGTATGATAATGTTCTGGACCTACAGATGGGTCAGTGTTCGCTAAATATGCACTGCATGCATGTGTGTTGTGCATATACAGACTGTGCCATCCATGTGGGTAGTTCTTTCCTCAATTCGTTCCTCCCCCCCTTTTTTTGCACTCCCCTGGGTTTTAACTAAACGATTGCTCACGTTTAAAAGGGGGGCTCCACTAGGCAAGGAAACTGGATATGCCAAACCGGATGAGCAGAACGAGGGGAAATAAATTAAAATGGAAGCTATATGCCCCTATTATATAACTTCTCGCAATAATGTACCTAGTTGGATGGGCTTTATTCACAAATGTACGCGATCAGGCCATGTTGACGTATGCTCGTGTAGCTCTTTTATTTTCACTCCCGTCCATGGACGTATATATGGAATGTATTCTCCATGCCTGCCGAACCGGTTATTACAGGGGTAGCATACCACATAAATTTTTGGCAGAAAAATCAGGGCGCATTCTTCATTTGAAGTGCTCCCCCGAGGTAGCCTCAATGACTGGCCAGGGGCGCATAATGCGGTGCGGTGGCACGTTAAAGCGGCAATTTTCAGCGGCAAGGTTCAGCGGCAAGGTTCTGCGGCAAGGTTCTGCGGCAATTTTGAGAGGCAATTTTCAGCGGCAAGGTTCAGCGGCAAGTTGGTGCCCCAACTTCACTTCGGCTTAAACTCGGATCGAATCGGTCGGCATGCGGTGAGGAAAAATCGTCCCCGCGGGGGGGGCCAACATTAGTGTTGCGCGGTACAGTATCATATAGAAAATAAAAAAAAGAAAAGAAAAATTGTTAAAAAAAAAAAGTAGCTATGTTCATTGCACCTCCGTAACTTTAAATTTTAGTAATTTAAAAAGGAAAACAAAAAAAAAAAAAGAAAAGAGCCTGACCGAAAGGTATAGCGAAACGTATTTGCGAAATGCGTTACAGAACGGATACGAGAAAATCTTTACCAGGAATCCTAAGTTCTGGCATTTTCTCCATCGCTACAATTTACCATCTCTGAAATTTAATTTTTGCTTCCAACTGTTAACCGAGTTTCACCAACTCTCCTTTTGTTGACTTACAACGAAACAGCAAGTGCGCACAGCTCGCAAGGGGCATACGTACGTGTTACGTAAACGCCTTCTTCTCCCCTAGCCTGCGTGTTCGCATATGTTGCATATATGCATCCGCGGTGGTAATTTTGCGAGGTGTTCTTCTACCTTCGTATTGCACGCTCTTTCTGCGTAAAAACTGTCATATTTCCCGCGCTAGGCTGGGATGAGCACGTGTGTTGGCGTAGGAACCGTTAGAAAACGTATACATACATGCATTTCTGCGATGATGCGTCCACGCGTTCATCCGACCTTGCGCCCATTTGACCGTGCGTGCTTGGCATAGACGCACGATCTCCTATTCGTGTATCCTTCATACACGTGTATGTCTATGTGCGTGACTACCCACTATATGCTCGTTACAGATGCACATGGCGCATACCCGTACCTACGGCGGGCGCAGCACTTTTTGTGAACGTGTTTTGTGAGTACCGCCCGAATTAGTTGCTGGCGCATGCCTTTTTTGGACTCTTGATTTTTCGAACCTTATGTGAAGAGCCACGTCGGCACGAGTTCACCTCCCCTACATTTGCCCGCATTCGTGTATGTGACTCTCGCTCGCCTTGGTGTTTTATGCATGTGGTATCTGTGCGTGCTGTTAAGGCAGACGTATGTTGGCCTACTCACACATATACGATTGCGAAGGCGGAACAAGGGAAGCGACTTCACTACGTTTAATCTGCAAAAAAAAAAAAAAAAATTGCATATTGTATAATACGAGTTTTTTTTTCTGCCCAATTTGTGTTTCCCCCCCACCGTTTAGCCCACCATTTGTTAATTCTACTTTTTTATGTCTGAGGGTACGAGAGAAAAAAAAAAAATTGATCGACGAACAAGAGCAAACGGAAGAACAAACGGAAGAACAAAAGGGAGGGGAAACGAACTGGCATGGTCTTAGAAACTTGCACGGGAACGGAAAGTAAACGCAAGAAAAAAAAAAGTTATTTATGAACTTCACGAATGTGAAAATTGTACATTTTTGTACGTGAGTGTACTTTTGCCAAAATTTCCGTGCCACCTGCGTGACTTGACTTATGTAGACTTGCGCGTCCGTTTTACGGTGCCTGTTCACAAACACTCGTGGTACATATACATACCTGGGTAAGAGGACATACGTATGTATACTTATATGTATTCGTTCATATGCGTACGTATATGCGCACCTTCGTACCCATTTTGTGTACGAGATTGCCAGGGCGATTTTCCCACGTGCATGCGCACCTATGTTTGGTTCCGCAGAAGACTATACTTGTGCGTGCGCAGCTACCACTGCATGCATACCTGCGTCACTTTTGCTCGCTTGAAGACGTATATATATAAATATATATCTGTATAATAACGTTATAATTCTCCTCCCCCCCTCCTTTGCCTCCTTAGCGCAGGATCATGATAAGTGCTGCATTCTGTTCTGTTATTTATCTGCCGAAATTTTCCCTAAAATTGGCAGCAAACTTAATGGCAATTAGTGGCAATTTTGTAACAATTTTGTGACAGTTTTGTAACAATTTTGTGGCGATTTTGTAACAATTCTGTAACAATTTTGTGACCATTTTAGCAGCTATTTTTGTGCCAATTTTAATGACCAATTAATGGCCACTTGTGAGAGAAAACCTGACAAGCGACACACAGGTGATCGTAGTTCTATTTTCCCCCCCTCCCTCTTGTATAAATCGTACAAGTGGCCAGTTAAACGCACATATGTATGTACTTGCGTGTATATCTACCCTTTTTTCCCTTGAAAAAAGTACCATTTTTTTTTTTTTTTGACATAAATGTATATGTACGTATGTGCGCATATTTATTTGCATTTTTCAAATAGCGTCTGATGCCTTAGATGAACGAAAGAAAAGGAAAGAAAAAAAAAGAAAAAAAATACACACGGGTGATTATATAAATGAAAACATAACATATCAAGAGTACGTACCCATTCGCGCGCATATATGTATACGCCTATTTGCGCGTTCATTCTGGGCACATTTATGCGGACATTTTAGGCCCATTTTGCCCGCCTACTTGTGCCCCTCTCGTACTTTCCTGTATCCTCTTGTACTCTCTTGTACCTTCTTGTACTCTCTTGTACCTTCTTGTACTCTCTTGTACCTTCTTGTACACTCTTGTGCCTTCTTGTACAATATTGTACATTCCTGTACAATCTTGTACCTTCTCCTGTATACCCCTCTATCGTTTACATGCCCCCCTTTTCCCCCCCCCAAAAAAAAAAAGGAAAAACAAAATGGAGTGCAACATCCGAGACGACGACGCATTTAACATCAAGAAGCCCAATGGCATAAGCAAAGAAAACATCAGCAAGAAGAATTACTCCTCAGAGGATGACAGGAGCAGTTCGTGTTATGTCAGTTATTCTTCCTCAAGTGAGGAGGACTACTTAGACATGCAGTGTGCACATGTTCATGACGAATCGAATGAGTATCATAACGCCAACTCGAAGAGTATGCATAATTCCTACGAGAGAGGAAAATACAGCAGCAACGATAGCTCCCTTTATGCCCCTTGGAAGGAAGATGCTTATCACAAGGGAAAGGAAAGTTCAGTCATGCAGGCCACTGGCAACACCAGTGTCGGGAACGTAATGAAGAAGGGAAACGGCTCCAAAAAAGCACACAGTAAAGAAAAGGCCAAAAGTGCAGATAGAAAAATAAAATTCGATGATGAGCACATAATTACCAATCGCATGAGCAAGAATAGAGGGGCACCCTCACATTACAACATAAGTGATGGCAGTGAGTACCTACAGGCGGGCACCATCCAGGACAGCTGTAACTTTGTGTATATGCAGCCACTGCCCGGAGGAGGGTATGTGTTCTATCACGCGCCCTGGAATAGTCATTACTATGATGTATGGTGGGATGGGTTTTGCGGGCCGAATTGCGATGAGCGCCGTTATGGGCAGTGCGTCATACACGATGGTGGTGACTACGACATTGACGAAGACATTTGCTATGACTTCCACGAAGACATGCACGAGAAGAGACACAGGCGGGAAGGCAAAGATCAGGAGGGCAGAGTTCAGACAGAAAAACGTCAGGACCGAACCGCGAGGAACACCAACCCAGCCCGAGTAAGCAACGAAGAGGTACACTCCCCGAGTAATGGCCGTATTGGAGGCCCCCCCGGCAGTGTGACCAACCATAGTAAAACAAATTCTAAGTACCCCCTTCCCGCGGGTAGAAATGACGAAAACGCATGGAATGACCAAAATGATTCCATTTGCATATTAAGGGGCAACGAATTCAACACCTCCCAAAGCTCGGACAATGAAAGTTTTAAGGACTACAAAAATATCGATGATGAACCTTGCCGTAGTGGTGACTGCGACTATTACGGAGAGGTGATTTCTTCGCCGAGTGCCAATCGGGAGGATGGACTGGAGAGTAAGAACAACACCTTTAAAGAGCCTGTAAAATTCGGTACAGAATTCATATGTAATGGTCACAAGGAGGACGTATCTCTCTTTGCTCATAACAACTTCAGTTGCAACGAAGGAGAATTGCTTGACCAGCCGGGGACCAATTCGACCGAAAATAGGTCTCCTTATAGTGAAAAGGCCATCACCACCGCCGCTACCGCCCCCGCCATGGACCGTAATTCTAGTGCAAAGGGCGTTCCGGGTGCAGCTGGTCCCAGACGCGGGAGAAAAGGTAAAGACACTGAAGGAGAGACTCATCAACACAATGGGAAAGGTGCTAATAGGGAAGAAAGTGCTAGCAGCTCGTCTTGCCCTCCACCTTATGCCAACCTACGTGAACGCGACAGCGCATATTCCAGTGACAACAAGAGCAGTAGTAAAGAAAGGGTAAAAGTGCATTTCTGCAAAGAGGCCAAAATGGAGACGATGCATAAGGCAGGAGTAGCTACCACAAGGAACTCACCAGGAAGGAGAAACAAAACGGAGGAAAGTAGCAACCCGTTGGGTGAAGCACCAAGAGACAGTATCACCGCGAAGGAACAAACAGAACATACTTCTACACATCAGAGGAAGGTTCCCAGTTGTAACACTCCCCAAGAGGTAACGAAAAAAAAAGGTCAGGTGAATTTTACACAGAGCGTAACATTTCCCATTCTTGAGGGAAACCCAAATGGCAGTGAAAAACTCACACAGAATGATTCCCTCAGTTATTATGCCCCCTGTTGTGATGCCCTCAGTTATTATGCCCCCTGTTATGATGCCCCCTGTTGTGATGCCCTCAGTTATTATGCCCCCTGTTATGATCCCCTCAGTTATTATGCCCCCTGTTATGATGCCCTCAGTTATGATGCCCTCAGTTATGCTGCACCCAGTTATGCTGCACCCAGTTATGATACCCTCAGTTATGCTGCACCCTGTTATGATGCCCCCTGTTATGATGCCCTCAGTTATGCTGCACCCACTTATGATGGCAATATTTTCATTTTAAAAAATGGTGGCCAGTCAGAAATGGCAACTCCCCACGGTGAATACTGCAGCTGTGCGCGCACATCCAGAAGGAATCTCAACCAAGTTGGAGAATCGGGTAAACCGAGCGAGCCGCTTCATGCGCTTCATCCGCTTCATCCATTTCAGTCCGTTCGCGTAGCAGAACAGGAGGCGATAAAAAAGTGTTCTCCAGAGGATGCACCCAAAGGGGAGAATGAAGCAGGTTCTTCCTTGGAAAGAATCCCCCAAAGGGAAACAGAACATGGACAGGAGAAAAAACAGAATAGTGAAAATACAGCAGTGATGAATGGCAGCATTTCAAATTCTATCCAAAGCAACGTTGAAGAGTGCCAGAAGAAGAATCAGAAAAACGTGTTAAGTGATGGGAACTTACTAAAGCTAATATTGCACTGCTCCAAAAAAAAGGACCCCAAGGCAGTCGGAATGGAAGATAAAATAATTGAAAATTTTATTAACACACAGAAAAAGGCCTTCGGTTTTTATTTGCAAAAGAATCTAACTAATGTCTGTGCAAAGTGCAAAGTGGAGATGCAGTTATCAGGCTCAGTCTACCTTTGCTTCGAATGTATGATCAAACAGATGGACGGCAGGAAAGAAAAGAAGAAGAACCTGTGGGAACCACCAAATGTTGGGAATAGTGAGTTAAGAAAAATTAATTTCTGCATTTCTAACTTCCTGAGCGAAGTGGATCAAGTGGAAAACAAATTTGACTTAACTGATGAGGACATTGTGCACATGTTTCGCGAAATTAGAAAGTGCAATTTTTGGAAGTCAGAGAAAAACATGTGCACGGTTTTTCGCAGCGTTTTTAAGACCCCTGGGCGAAAGGGCAGAGGTGACGGCATAAGTGGCGACATAAGTGGCGGCTTAAATGGCCACATAAATGGCAGGAGTTGCGACGCCCAGCTTGACCTGCCCGAGGAAGATCTGTTCAGAAAAATCTTCAAAAACAATTTTGAGAAATTTATCAGCCTTCATAAAAGCGGCGAATGGATAAGCCAAAACAACGCAAATGATGACAAGGCCATTTCTGTGGAAAGTGGCCCCAAAACAGAGGTGCAAAGATTTTGCTACTTCGTGAAGGAAAGGAAGACGGAGAAGAAGTCGGGGGAGGGAAGGAAGAAGTCTCACTTGATCCGTAAACCGGAGAAGGAACCAAACTTGTTTCGCGCCACAAAATGGGACAAAGTGATGAAGCGTATTTTCAAATTGGAGCGCCTCCGTGAGCCTTTGCGAAGCATTCGTGCTTGCCATTACTCTTGCTTCTGTGCGGGGACGATGGGATTGGAAACCAAGATTGTGTGTCAGAGAAAGGGCAAGGACAGACCAACCGGCATAGCACGAGGAAGTCCAAACACCGTGCCGCTTCCTACGCGGGGTGTCAAGGGCGAAGGAATGAACGAAAACGAAGTAGAAGACGTAAAAAACAGTCCAAGGAGCAACCGCAGAAACAAAAGGAAGCTCGACGATTCAGAAGTATCAGTATCATCAGAAGAGGAAGAGCAAATTCGCATCACCGATGTGAGCAGGGCGCCCTACGACGACCCCCTTGCGCGAAAGGCTGCCCAGCCCCGACAGACCGCCAACGGAGGACGAAATGGGAATGGAAAGAATGACAATCAGAGCAGTCAGGGAGAAGGAGAGGGAAGACGATTTAACGAAAATGACAGAAATGCTAATAGCCGGGAAGGTAATGGGCATACAGATAGGCGGGGATACGTACCGGCGAGGGGAAATGGTGGAGATGATCGCACCGATGATGAAAGTGATTACCGAGATGAGGGCGAAGACGACGACGAGAGGGACGACGAGGAAGAGTATGAGAAGGAGAAAGATGAAGAGGAGGAAGAAAAGGAAGAAGCTGAAGAAGAGGAAAAAGAAGAACGAATAAACAGCGAGAAATCAAACAAACCATCACTCAGCGATGAAGGTCGCGGCAGGACCCGACGAAAAGAAGAGCCCAAACGTGAGGACGAAAGGGACTCCAGAGAGGTGTCCCCCAGGCGAAGAGAAAAACTGATGAGCAGGCGAAGCAAGAGAAAGAAGAAAAACCGACTTGCGCGGAAACGAGACAACAAAAGTGACGAGTACGCAGATGTGACGAATGAAGATATTTTAGACAACTTTATTAGGGAAATTATGAAGGCCAACCGTAGCCTCTATAGTCAGAAGAAGTTAAACCATTGGATGAGAGAAAATAAATTGAAGTGTTATTTCCACCTCCCCAGTATAGTCACACAGAAAGTAATTCCACCCCTGATTGTACCATTGAACAGGAAATATACGAACTTGTTTTCTGAGCTGAGAACTAATGACTTCATCAACATAGAGAATATCGATTATTACAAATTGTTCATGATGAAGAAGAGCATCTCCGAGTTCCGCCGTGGCAACAGGTGCCTAACGAACGTGTCCAAGGGGGCGAACAGCGGCCCCCAAGTGCTTGCGCGGAGGAAGTTCTTCCACAGCGACCGCAGCAGCAGTAGTAGCAGCGACAGCGACGGTCCCAATCGGGACGGTCGTGACAGTGGTGGCAACCGCGACCAGATGGACCAACACGATCAGCAGGACCAACATGACCAACGCGATGGAGTGAATGCGAACGAGGGGGCTAACAGCAGCGGAAACAGACAAGCGACCATTTACCACAAGAAGAACAACGAGATGATCGAGCTTTACATCCCCAATTTTTGGAGAAGCATCAAAAGTATAAACGAAGTAAAATCCGTCACCACGGGAAATTCGGACGATTTCTACTTCAAATTGTTAGTGCACCCAAGGGGAAATTCAAACGATGATAACTACCTGTCGGTTTATTTAGAAGTGTTAAAGCAGGATTTTTATCCATCCGAGTGGGTATTCCCGAATGTGCGATTTCAACTAACGGTGCATAATTTCAAATCGAAAAAAAACTCCATTTCATCATGGGCCTACTGGTCCTTTACCAACAATTCGTTATCGAGGGGATGGCAGAAAATGATAAGTCATTCAAAAATAAATAAGTCTATGGGATTTTTGGATGAAACAGGTGGGCTGTTAATAAAGGGCAAGGCGGAGAGATCTTTCAAGGAGCTGTGGTCAAAGTGCGTTCAGCATACCCCCAAGTATATTTGGAGTTACATTCCGGAGAAAATTTATGAAAGCTTCGAGCATAACGATTTGCTGTTTCAGTTTCTGTTTCAGAAGGCCTACTTCAGGAAGTGCCAGTACGTGGGTGCGAAGGGCGCGCGTCACGGCCATGAAAGCAGCAGCGGTGGTAGCAGCGCTGGCGATGAGAATGGCAGTAGGAGAGGCAGCGGCAGTATGGGATGCAACGATAGTATAGGAGGCAACGACAGTATGGGAGACAACGACAGTAGCGGAAGGAATAGCAGTATCGGACGCAACCGCAGTAGCGAAAGGTATGGCAGTATCAGACGCAACCGCAGTAGCGAAAGGTATGGCAGTATCAGACGCAATCGCAGTAGCGAAAGGTATGGCAATATCAGACGCAACCGCAGTAGCGAAAGGTATGGCAGTATCAGACGCAATCGCAGTATCAGATGCAACCGAAGTATTCGGCGGAATGGCAGTAACCGAGGCAGCCGCAGTAGCGAAGGCAACGGCAGGGAGGTCGTTAACTGGGCCCGGAGAACCAACAGCCGCGGGAAGGAAATGCTCGGGCAGGCCAAGAACTACATGCTGAACAGATATGCCATTGACATCTACAACTTCTCCCTTTTCTGGACCCCCCAGTTTGTAAAAAATTACCTGAGCAGCTCGGAGAATTCGCATAAGTGGAGGAGGTCCTTTCATGAGAGCGTGAAGAGGATTATTCGCAGCGCTGAGGGGGAGAGGCAGATAAGTGGGGGTGGCGATGGGGATGGCACAGGTGATGGTGATCATGATGACCAAGGCGATGGCCTTGCGACTGCACGACAATCTCGAGCAGTTGAAGCGGATAGACTGAAAGAACAAAATAAAACCACACTGAGTCTTATCAAGTCCGTGTACAGAAACATGCACGTGTACGAAGGCCTCGTGGCGAAGAACAACCTGAATGAGCTGAAGAACATCACCACGGAGGAGGCAGAGAAGAATGATACAGCCAGGAAGGAGGACCTCTCCATAGACAACAGGAAGTACATACTATCCCTAACCAACTACATCGTCCCCGTGGTGGAGTCCTACAACGACAATGACAATCTTTCCATCCTCGTGAATTGCCTGTACAATATAGAGCTCTTCAAAATTATGGTCCTAAAGTATAAGGCAAGTCTGTACAATCGTATTTTCTCCAAATATCTAAAAAATCGAAGGAAGGAGAAAAAATTTAAATTAAATTATGTGATGAAAAGGTATGGAATTCAGAAGGATGACACCAAGAGGGAGATCATTCAGAAGATAAAAGATTTTAATAGAGAAAAAAAAACTTATCATTTCAGTGAATCAGATTTGAGACACACAGTTTTGAGCAGTCTGGAGATAATCAATGACAAGGTACAGGATTTCCTCACCCTTATAGATGAAAAAATTTATTACCTTAATAACGTAACCAGTCGAAAGAGAAGCAGTGCATGTGAGGATGAACAAGGGGAGACACACCCACATGATAATCAGCTCAATGACATGGAAAGAATTAACTACATACTGACTCTACACGTGCCGAAGGAGCAGGACAATAACAAAGTACAACAAGTTGTCAACGCGAATATTTACATCAGCTATATCAACGGAAAGATTAACTACGCGAACGATTGCATGTACAGCCAGGGAATGGAAAAATATAACATAAATTACCTTTGCAATGTGAACAAAGTGAAAATGAGCATACAGAACATTAATAGCAACATTGATGAAGTCAATCGGAACATTGGAGGCCTTTCGCACTACGCCCCTGAGGACGGCGTGTCCCTTCCCGGGGAGAGCGGCGGGGAAAGCGGAATCGCCGGAGAAGGCGGATGCAAAGGGAAAGGCGCAGTCGACGACAACAGAATCATTATCGAGGCTGCCAGCGCCGCGGGTGCCGGTGCCCCCACTGCCGACGATGCCAACCCACGACTCAATGGAGCCGTCGAGGAATTGATTAGCACCTTTCACATTGACCCCAAGGAGTGGCTCAACGAGGACGGGGAGGCAACCCATCCGAAAGGAAGCCTCGCGAAAGAAAGCGACTCCAAGGAAAGCCACTCCAAAGGAACGAGTGCCCCATCGGATGACGACGCCAATAAACGGGAACATTATCGCGTGAGAGACTATATCGACTTTTTAGAAAACGATTTTATCGACGACCCGAACGAACTGAAAAATCTGTCCTACCGATACACAACCGATATGAAATCCTTTAACATGTTTGAGTACTTTCGAAAAAACAACAAAAATGTAATCATTGCTCTCCAGAGAATTTTCATCTGCATGCAAATGTACTCGCTAATCCTGTGTGCCAAGAAGGGCAAGGAGGATTTCCAGAAGGATCATTTTAACAATTTTGATAGGCTTTTCTATAGAGAAAAGGGGAATCTGGACTTTACGGGTGCTGGCGGTGATATGTGTGAGACCTGTATGGATAGCTCTGGTAGCGGTGCCCATTCGAGCAGCACGACGACCACGACGATGACGGCCACTCGAAACGGTAGGAAGAGAAAGCATCGTAGATGCCAGGATGAGAAGAATGAAGACCTCTCGGAAGGCAAGAAGAAATATTTCAGTAAAGAAAGTTCTGGGGCTGACAAATCGGAGAAGGGTTCCAATTCTTTTTCGCTGTCCAGCGTAATGGAGGCGAAGGATTCGCACCGAAATGGGAAAGGCAGGCGAAGTGGTAGTGGCGGCAAAGCGGGGATGGGGGTGGAAATTGACGCAGGAATGGGCAGAGGAATGGACGAAGGAATGGACGAGGGAATGGACGAGGGAATGGACGGAGTCGACGCAGAGTTTGCGCACCATAGAGGCAGGAGCAGCCAAGAGGGGGGAACCGACAACCAGGAGGACAGTGGAGAAAATCAAATGATATGCAAAGAAAAGAATGAAAACCCGGACATGAACAATTATAATAATTGTAGAAGTAGCAGCAATGACGAGTCTCAAGAGAAGGATGCTAAATATTTTTCCCATTTACCTCTACATAAGAAAAATTGCCTGTACTATTACAAGAATAGCCTCTTTTACAACACGCAGTACTCGGAGGATGAGTGCAACTTGACTCTCTCTGCGACGGATCACTCCAACAGAGGGAAAGCAAATGGAAGCCGAAGAAGAATGAAAAACACTGTACTTAATGTATACAACAAGAATGATAATTATTTGCATTTATTTAAGCCCCTCATACCGAGCATTAAAATTTTACTCTTTAGTCTTAACAAGATCCTCTTTAATCAGTATAGATGCAATGAACCCATCACACGAATCCATGAGCTGCTCTTCAAACGCATCGTGTGCGATGTAGTGAAGGACAAGGTGAAGCTGAATAGGAAGATTAAGAAGCTCAGGAAGCGCCTCGCCGAGTGTAGCGACGGCGATGTGGAGTCCGCTGACCAGGACAAGGTTAGTGCTAATGCCGATGGTATCGCTGCTCGGGATGGTATCGCCAATGCACGTGGTAGCGCCGCTCCGGATGGTAACTCCAACGTGGATAGTATCCGCAGCGACAGAAGTAGAAGACGAAAACTGGAAAGGAGAGAAAACGATTTGGTGGAAGATTTGAAAGACCTTAGGATATTCGAAAAAATGTGCTATGAGCTTTTCAACTTGAAAAGCAAAACGGAGAGCGATAACGAAAGCAGCGATAACAGGGTGGACGGGAGTGACTACACTGAGAGATCCAATGTCCCGAGTGACAATGAAGGATACCCGAACTTTCAGAGGTACCCATCGAAGCAGGGGAACGAGATGGACGAGTGGGAGTACGAAGGCAAGAAGGAAACAAAACAGATGAAGCAGTCGAAACAGCCCAAACAATTGAAGCACCCAAATCAGACGAAGCAGACGAAGCACCAGCAGGAGGAACGGATTAATAACCCCACGATGTGCGAAAAAAGACAAACAGGCACAGAAGCCGGAACCAACAATAGTAAGGATAGAAAAGCTACTCAGAAAAATTACGACGCGGGAAAAAAAAAAAACGAAACGAATTACAAAGATGATAACGATTCGTATGACCAAAGCAACAACGGTAGCGACAATTTCGATGAAAACAACGAAGAAGACTTTTTCAACCAGGGGAAGAATAAAGACTCGGATAATTACGACAGCAAAGCGTGCAAGAATAAAAGCATCAACTCGTTAATATACAATATGATAAATAAAAAAAAAATAAACTTCTACAAAAATTATATCATTTGTGAGAAGGACATTTATAAGACGATTGAGAAGTCGTCCTTCACGGAAATTCCGTACGTCCTTTTCTTCTACATGAATTGCTTCAAAAATTTAAGGAGGGGGGAGCTAATCGACATTCCGCTGTACTTGGACATATATGAAGATATCGAGGAGGATACAGACAGGAGGGGGTCGCACAATGGAAAAGGAGAAATGAATGGCCCGCACCACCACCACAGCAGCAGCGGAAGTGGCAGTGGAAGTGTCAGCGGAAGTGGAAACAACCACTATAATAGGGAAGACAAAAGCAGCTCCTTCTTTGGAATAAAAAAAAATGTACATGCGAAGAGAAAACATGATGACTACAATGAGTATATAATTACATACCATCTTTACGCTCTCATCATTTCAGAAAACAAAGATGTGAGTAACAACATGTGTGGGGTCCCCAGTTACAACAAACTGAGCGACATTGAATTGAACACAGCCAATGACATAAACAACACGTCTTACTCCTACCTCATTCTGAGACCGTACATTAAAGGACCCTGGTTTAAAATCTACAAAAATAGGATAACGAAATTGAGACAGACGTATGAATTTAACGAGTGGAAGTGTCACAAGGATTTCTATTGTTCCTGTTGCATTTATGTTAGCGATAATTATTACGATCTGAATAACCAGCTTTGTCTCAAGCAGCTCAACATCAAGAATATTAACTTTCCGCTGTATATCCACACTTTGCGCGAATTCGATATAGAGGAGAAGGACATCTTCGAATTTAACAAGAGTGGCAAGGAGGATTTGTACGCTCATCGCAGTGTCGGGGATGACGAAAGAATGGATGATCAGCTGATTTATGAGTTGCGCAAGGGGGATGTTTCGCCGCTGGGGGGGGTGGGGCACCCAGAAAAGCAGCCAAAAAACCAACCAGCGCATCAACCAGCAGACGAACCAGCTAACCAGCCTGCTGATCCAGTGCAGGAGTCGGAGAAGGCAGATCCCCCCCCCGTTGACCACCTTGATCTAAAAGAAGAACGCAATGCAGAGGGGGAAGGTCCGACCCCCCCGGAAAAAACCACAGAATCCTCATGTGAAGTGGTACCCCCCGAGACGAACCACACGGAAAGAATACACGCAAGTACGACGGAATTAAAAATAGAAATAGTTTCGAAAGAAGGATACGTTAAGAACCCAAAGGATGGAACCCTGACCAATAAGAGGAACGCCGAAATGATGAAAATGCTTCTCGATCAGGCAGACCACCCCAGATTGAGCACCACCATAGAGGGACACCCCTTTATAACAAACGAGAGAGACCTCATACTGAATTCGCTAAAGGTTCACCATAGAATGATGATAAATGTGAAGGACGAACTTTTCGAGGACGTAATCAGAATTGAGGACAATGAGCATACGGCGTACAACTACACCATAAATGGGAAGGCGAAAATGTGCATCGTCCTTAACAAGAACAGAAGCAGGTTGAGACACAACAGGCATTTCTTCGACGTCAAGGGTATAATGAAATGCTACGAGAAGTTCGACGATAATCATAATTTAAATTTGTTTAGCAATAACGTTGCTGAGATGAACTTTGCGCATAACTTGTCCAGAGGGTTCGTCATTTCGAATGGGTTTTTCACTTCGGACGGAGTGTACTGGGCGAGAAACGAGTTTGCGCTGGCGCAGAGCACGCTGATGCAGAACGGACAGGCGCTAAACAAACAGTCGCGAACTCCACAGGTGCCAACCCCAGAGGGAGACCCCCACACCGGAGTGGATAGACAACGTCATGCCGCCAAGCACGTGACCAGAAGGACCAAAATCAACGTGCTTAACGATATCCAGAAATCCAGGGGCAAGTGCCACATAAAGAAAGACTACCGAAATAGCCACTTTGTGAATTATCATGTAAACAACGGAATGATAAACGCAAACAACGTCAGCTATATTAAATGCTTCATGCAGTTACAAAATCTTTTTAAGAACATGAATTTGAATAATAACGATTTTGTTAAAAGTAGCCACATGAAGTTCAGGATAAACAGTCCCTTCAACATCGAACTGAACAATATATTTTACAATTTCTACAAAGAGAAAGTTAACATCAATAATGTTAAAAGGAGTTACCTAGATAATGAAGAGAAGTTAGAATTACATACCTATTATTTGAAAACCTGTCTCAACATTTTTCAGTCTTTTTTTCATGAGTACTTATATATCAATCTCACCAATCATGCGGAACTTAAAAAGAAAAGAAAAAATGTCTACAAAAATTTCTGCATAGCTTTGTCCGATATCTTTTTCAACAACTTAAGTTTCAACACAGATGATGAGGATGAAAATTTTGAGCACTTACAAGGGGGCATTGCTGTATATGAATTTTATGAGAGTCGATTTAAGAAGTTAAAAATGATGTTGAAAAAAATCTTCATGTATTTGAATATCATCTGTAGAGTCATTAAGTATATTCAGTTGAAGAAGGCTCTTTTTAATGAGAACTTCGATTTGCACACTTGTAAAATGCACGATGTGTTTTTTTTCAATTATCTGTACTTTTTTTACAATAAGTACTCCAAGAATTGCAGCAACAGGTATATAAAGAAGCTGTGTGTACGTTACGGCGTGAAGAAACGCGACATTGTTACCAGTTTGCGGCGGAAGATTAACACGGCTAAGGACGAGGACTTCTATTTCCTCGATGTGTACCAACGCCTTTTCGAGGGCGCCGTGCGCGGCAGCACGTTGGGCCCTCTCCCCAGGAATGACGAGGACTGCTCATTCGCTGCGGTGAGTGTGGAGAATGCGGCGAGCCCAGTCAACCCCACTTGCGTGGCCAACGATGCTACCCCTGTCAACAAGGTGAACAGGCTGATGGCCTTCTGCAGGTGCATGGCGGAGGAGCACAAGAAGGAAGCCTTCTTCGAGCCGACGAAGCACAAGGCCGACTGCGTCTTCCGCTATCTCACCTCTACGCTCCACGAAGATGTCCTGTTCCTGAAAAACAAAAATAAGGATTTTAACCAAAAGATGAGCTACACTAAGAGCGAAACTTGGATGAAGGAACGAAAAATGCTCATCCTGACACAGCGAGGAAGCGACAATCAAGACATAAATGAGTTCCTAAATGTGGGTCATCCAAGGGACGAAAAAGATTTGGAGTCATTCTTCCTGCACCTATTACAGAGGAAAAAAAAAACCTGCATTCTATGCTACTGCGTAAGACGTTACTATTTGCGCTTTCTAAAAAGACTACAAAAAAGTTTATCCTTCGAAGTGCTCGATAAACAGATCAATTTCATCTTTGACAATAACTACCTCGAAATCATCAAGTTATATAACAGACAGAAAAACAGCTGCGATGGGGCTGGAAACAGCGAATGCGGTTACGACGGCGGTTATGACGGGGGTTACCACTGCGGCTACCATGGTGGTTATCAGTGCGGTTACCATTGCAGCGGCAGTCACGGCGGCCACCGCAACAGCAACAATTTCCATTCCAATTGCAAATGCTCCAGCATATTCAGCTACATAAACATAGACTCTATAGAAGCCTGCATCATATACCTCCTTCAAACCATCTGGAAGTACTACCTCTGCGACATCCTCACCATCCCTAACGAATTAGAACAATTCTACGATAACTTAGCAAAAAAACACAAGAGGAAAAAGTACAAAAACACCAAAGATGAAAAAAGCTGGAATTTTATTAAATACCTCAAGGAGGAAAAAACAAATAACATGATAAACAAGTATCTTTCCAACAATGAGGAGAACATGGAGGTGGTCTCCACTAATGAGGACAGCAGTGAGGAGAAGTTTGTGCACAACAATTTGCTTCTCTCTAACTTCCAGTTTATCGACATCAATGCGATTAAGAGGAGTATCTCGGCGCCGTCGGGTGTTGGTGCGGAACAGAGGGGACACATCAACCAGGTTAGCGGAACCAACCAGACAAGCAGCGACGAGCACACAAGCAGCGACAACTACGCCAACAGGAACCAGAAGAGCCACGCCCAAAAGAACAGCGAAACGCAGGTCGAAACGAACAAGACACAGAAGAACGAAAAAGTGGCGAGCGATTTCTACACCATCGACTTGAACATCCTAAGGGAGGACGAGCTCAGCGCATACACGCAGTTCCCTAATGGCACGCTCACCCTTCTAAAGGTGCTGCAGGGGAAACTGGACAACAGGGAGCTGAAGAAATTGCTGAAGCAGTTCAACCTTAGAGGAATTCAAGTGAAGAATGGGATAAGGGAGCACGGAAGGAGCATCATTGTGACGAATGAGATCGGGCCGATCACCTCCTGCGGCAGAGGGGCCACTCTCAGGGAGGCCGCTCACAGGGAGGCCGCTCACAGGGAGGATGACACGGAGATGAAGGAAAAGAACCCAGAGGAGAGGAAAGAGGAACGCGTCGAATTGCCTACCCTGCGAGAAGGGGAAACGTGCGCGGAGATTGACGATGAGGCGAAGGGGATAAGATGCAAAGCAGAGGAGGATAAGGGGGATAAGGGGAAGGAAGTTAAGGGCAACAAGGCAAAGGTGAGCAAGTCGAAGGGAAGCAAAGAAGTCACTCTACCCAACGCGCTGGAGAGTAATCTGGAGCAGGTCCTCACAGGAAGTAGCAGCGTCGACGAAAATTTCATTTCCAATTTTTACGTAAACCTAAAGCTCCTGAAGGATAAGTTGGACAATAATTACTCCGAGAAGAATGGCAGCGGGAAGGACAATGACACTATTCAAGAAAATGCGTTGACAAACGCCATCCATAAGGTCAGCGAAACGATGAAGAAATACAACATAAATAATATTAACGAGATTAAAAGTGTACTAGTGAAAAACGGATACGACATACGAAAGTGCTACAACGGAATTGACTTGATCTTCCTCTTCCTCTCAAAAATTAAGGGCGTCAATGTGAGCTTCCTAAATGGAAACAATTTTATTAACAACAAAAATGTGTATGAAATTTTGCTGCAGAATTTTAAGACCATAAATTATGACAATGTAGAGAAGGACTTTTACTCTCTAGATTATATCCTTTCCAATTTTGAATACATCGATGAGACGTATATATATCAGAGGTACAGATCCTTTTTTCATTTTACGGACCTTCTCTTCACTGTACAGAACGTGGTAGACGACAACTCGCACATAACACAGGATCTGTTTACCCCCTTCTTTGATGTTTTAAACAATTTATTCTGTTATGGTATCGGTTTGGTAGATAATTTTAGTGAAAATTGTAAAGAGGTCATTAAAATTAATAGTCTAGAATATTTCTTGGAACATCTGCACAAATGTATTGGCTCCCTCTACATCATTGACAAGAACTTCGAGTGTAGGAAGGAGTTCTTTCGTTTCATTCAGTACAATAGCTTCTTTTGGCATCTCCTCTACAAGCAATACAACCTTTTTTTAACTTACTATGATATGAAGAACCACTGCAACATTTTCAATGTCTTTTTATTTCACTTTCTCAATTACGCCTTTGAATTTCCCTTGGACAATTTCTTCAAAATTGATAATAAACTAAGTGAGGAGAAGAACGCTATGGTTGATCGTCTCTTTGACAAGTTCCCGTTTTTAAAAGCAGAGGAGAGGTTCCTGTTTTGCCTCATTTTCCGCTTTCTCCTGCAGGAGAAGAATCATTTCTACACCTACTACTACAGCACCGAGTTATCTCTTTTCATCTTCAACGCGATCATATCTTTGAATAATTTCAGCCGCAACTTGGAGCAGCCTTATATCTTTTCCAAGGGGTTCACGCCCCTAAACGGGTTGAATGTGCTCGACTCACCACTCCTGTCGCTGCACCAGAGAGAAGAAGTAACCAAGCGGAAAAAACACTTCCAGAATTTCCATCTGAACAAGGAAAACCTAATCCGGTTTATTGATAGAAAGGAGAAGGAACTCCTAACCCTGGGATCAATAATAAACCTGGAAATTACCAACAAAGCCATTTACTTTAACAACACCATCAATATGTTGAATTTTATTATCAAGGATTACAGAAGGAATAAGTTCGTGAATTATGTCAATTCGGATGTGAATAACAGTCTGTTTTACCTCGCCTACAACTATCCCATCATTAATATCAATCCCAAGCAGCAGGATCTGCTGACTCTCTACCTCAGCAGCATATACACACACAATGAGAACTTTCGAAATATTAATAATTTGGTTTATATTTACAGCAATTCCTTTTACAATTTTCACAACTTATTTATGTTTCTGAACAACAATAACGACCTTTTCCTTTCTCTCTTCAAGCTCCGATTCCCTGGGAAACGGTCCCCGGAGATGCGCAACTTTTTCTACGACACGGGGGAGGAGAAGGGAAGCCAAGTCGATCTCCCTGTGACAGAGCGGTTAGACAAAGGGTGTGCTACCCGGTCTACCCGCTCGACTGACCGCTTTACCCCCCGAACGTTCGGCAACTACGACGTGGCCATACACAACTGCGTGAGCGAAGTGTTCTACCTCTACGACGGCATCGTGTACGACGTGAACGAGACGGTGAACATTGATTACTACTTCCAAGGGGGGGAAGCCTACCTGAATTTTGTGCGTAACAGAAATATGGATTACTACGAGGAGAGGGAAAATATCTTCTATGAACAGAATGCAAGGGAGCGTAACGCAGCGGATGAAGACGTGGAAAGGCGCATCGAAGAGGTTCTGCGCAGAGAGCTCGTCACAATAGAGAATATGCCGAACGGAACAAACGGCGACGCGATCAACATGACTAAGGACAACTCCAATGTGATGAAGAACAAAAATACAAACAAGAGGAAAAAAAACGAAAAAAATGAAAATTTCCTTCACGAACCAGAGTTAGAAAGAGACATAATGAATATCAGGTTCACGAAAAAAGAGTTCCTTGGAAAAAATCTACCCTCCTTTTTCTATTTCAGATCACTCATGTACAATCATAAAAGTGTCACCAATAGTAAGTCTGACTTGACACATGGAAATTGTTCCTCCTCCAATGCGACTAAGAAATTTTTCTATATCTCTCTCCTATTCAATATTGACTTTTATAACATCCGAGGAATGCACATTGAAAATAAGTTGGTGTCCGATCGAACTTTACTCATTAATAGAATTTTGAAAGACAACAAGGGAAGGTTGCTAAACGTAAAAGTCTTCCACCTGTATAATATTTTCTCCAAAATTATTGAGCTTCACTATGAGGGGAAGAACAACACTAGTAGAAGGAGCAATAGCATCAGCAGCAACAACAGAGGCATCAACAATAACAGCAGCAACCATAGCTGCAGCAACAATATCAGCGGTAACAATGCTGAGGACAGGTTTATTAACGGACTGGATTATAAAACGGACGAGGATTTTTACTACAAAGTGAAAATGAATCCGTCGTACTTCTTCCTTCTGTATGCTATTAAGAACGATTACGACAAAAAGAGCAAAAACAAGCTCATTTTTATGAACGTCAATTCCGATGTGGAATGCTATGTTGAGGACAAGAAGGATGGTACGCACAAGTTCGATTTGAACATCCTGTTGATCCCCATTTCTTCTCACATTGTTCTGAGCAAGTACAACGGCAATATCAACCTTTTCAACGACAACGACTACCCGCTCATCACGTTTAAGTTCCTCACCTCCACGTATGACTTGGTCTGCATAGGTAGGATAGGCGATGCTAGGCGATGCCGCGGTGATAGTCCGCAACGCCCCGCATTACCACCCCGCGTTTTGCATATGCGTTCTCCGTTGTCTTCGCCTCTGTCTTCCCCTTTGCGTGTCCAACTCTTCCCGCTGACCGTCCCCCTCATTTTCCCCCCTCCCCGCAGGCATGATCATCTGTTACTCGAAGCTCCTCCTCCAGGACTACATCCTAAACTGGTTTGTCCCAAAAATCAAGGAGCGAAAACTAATCAAAGAGGATCTAGAAATAAAGTTGGAGGAAATCAACGTGTATGAAGAATCCGAACTGTACTGCCTAGAAAAAATTAGGAAGTTTTCCTGCAGCATTAAGAAGCTTCTGAAAAAGTATAACAACACCATAGTGATTCAATTGAAGAGAAATCACGACATGAACAAGGTTCACATAAAATGCATAGAGAATTCTAAGCTGACCAAAACGAACTTCTGCTCCAACTGCAAGAGCATCTATGTCTGTTTGTGCCAGAAGATTAAAAAGGAAGAGCTGAGAAAAAAAATGAATTACATTAAGGGGCAAGAGAAGATGATCAAGGCGATTAGAAACAACTGCGAAGAAATTAACCCCGAACATCTCATTGGGGAGGAAATCAATAGGAAGAGGAGTCAAACTTCGCACGCACGCAGTGGTGACAACACAGGGAAGGCGGGATCAGGGACTGGTGCGGCAACGACGAGCGTGCCCGATGAGCTTCCATGGGATGACGACTTCATGCAGACGTTGTACCAAAATGAAGAACTCATGGACGAAATGAACGTCCTGGAAAATTCCTATCGCTCAACCAACAGCTCAGTCCTCTCCGTGTCCAGTGACAATATTTCCAACTTCTCCGGAGACGACAACTGTATTTTGGACGAAATGGAGAACACCACCATTATATTTAATAACGCCCTGTACGAGGATGAGGACCTTTTGCGAACTGAAAAAAAAACACAGGAAAGGAGTGGCCCAGGAGGAGCTGCAGGAGGAGACCTCTCATATGTAAATCCCGTGGAGGGCACCCGAGGAAGAAGAGATCTCACAACTTGCAGTTTTGGATGCGCCGGTATCTGCGGCGGGGTGTGCAATGGTGTGTGCAGCGGTGCGTGTGGCGGTGTCTGTGACAGTGGGTACAACGCACTGTGCAACGGGGTCTGCGAAGGCACTTGTGTTGGCGCTTGCGGACCCACATGTAGCTGCGCCTGTGGCACCAACGCAGCGAATAATAACGCCATCGAACTCAACCTTCGAAAGAACAACGGAAAAAATGACATCGAGGAAATCCTCCTACTCGAGTTCGAGAAATTGAGCACAGAACATATAATGAACGTGTACACAATACAGAAGAGATTCGAAAAATATACAGAGGGTGTTTACAGCAAAATGATGAATGAACTGGCAAAGAAAAGGGAAGCCACTAAAAAAGTCAAGGGGGAAGAAGATCATCACAGCAAGGACATATCCAAAGGGCGTGGACGAAGCACTACCAACGCGGCCAGCGAAAGCAAGGAACAAAGTAAAACATTAGAGAGTCAGACGAAGAAAAATTTGCAGTCAGACACTACTGTTGTGCTTACACAGGGTCAGCCGGATAAAGCGGCACAGACATCCAAACTTGACACGAACGACGTGAAGACATCAGCCGAGCCGTTGCTAAAGAAGGGAGAAAAAAGTAAAGCCCAGGAGGACGCCACTTCGCTTCAACCCCTTCGCAACAATAAACGGGGTGCTAAGACCACCAAGGCTGAAAAGGGTACTCATCCCGATAAAGAAAAAACTGTGAGTAGTCACAACGCCGGGGTTAAGGACAAACGGGTCGTGGAGGACAATACTGCTCCAAATGGCCTCGCGCAGGTAGACAGTTCGATCACCAAGGAGGAGGAAGCGTGCCAGGGAAGCACGAAAGAGGGCGCAGAGGAAGGGGAGCTGCAGAAGGAAAGGGATAACAGAAGGGGCGACCTGCCGAAGGCGGGTCCGGCCGATGAACAGGGCGCGAAGAAAGTGGAAGCCGTTGGTAAGAAGAGAAGCGGTGAAGTCAAAAGTGGTGACGTCAAAACAGGCGAAAGCAAGGGTGGAAAGAAGAAAGTGGGCCAGGTAATCAGCGCTGTGAAGGGCGCAGAGAGCTCTGCCAAGAAGGAAGGTGCCGTCACGCAAAAGGGCGCTAGCGACTGCGCGAAGGATGGAGGTGCCCCCGTCGAGAGCGAATTGGAGGAGGAGACGGACAAGCCCAGCGAGAAGAGTAAAAACGCCAGCGGAAAGAAGAGCCAGCCGGCCAAGGAGAAGAAACAGAAGGGAGGCGGTAGCCCGGCGGACGATGAGGAAAAGGGGGAAGGCGGCGACAAAAGGAAGGGAAGCAAGGAGGGAGAAACGAAGAAGGGAGAATTGAACAAAGGGGCGGCCAAGAAGGTCGAAGCGAAGGGGGAAGCCAAAGTGGAATCCAAAGTGGACGCGAAGAAGGCGGGCGCCAAAACGATTGAAGGCGCCGCGAGGGAAGACAAAAAAGCGGAGCCCCAAATTGGCGAGGATCAGAACGTGGAAGACCCCATCTACAACTACTTCTGCAAAAACATCTCGGAGCAGATCGAAAAAATGGATAAAGTGGAGACGGTCGCGGCGTACCTTTACAACGAGCTGGTAGAGATAACGAAGAAGAAGCTGAAGAAAAACGTAATACGCGTGGATAACCTTTCGGCAGAAGGCTATCTGGGTGTAGGGGAGGAATTCCTTAGCGCGATGAATGAGTTGGTTCTCAAATTAAATAGTAAGTTTGGATCAGAGGAAGGTGCGAAGAGGACCCTTTCAAGTGGCGCCCCAAGCGTAAGCACCATCTCCAGTGGAATGAAAGGCATCAAAGGGGGAGAAATAACCAACACGGCAGTAGTAGCAACCACGGCGGCAAGACACACCGAAAGTGACCATCCCGGAAAGGGGACTATCAAAGAGGTGAGCACACAAGAAGAGAAGGAAAAAAGAGAAGAAAACAAGTACAATCTATACGACAATGAAAACATTATGAAATTATTAAACATGTTGAAGAGAAAATTGATTTCAAAGATTCTTCTGCCAGATAGCCCAAGTGATAAAAGCAAAGCGAGAAATAAAAAAGTTGTAAAAAAAAAAAAACAAGTTGATATTAAATACATCTGTGAGATTTTAAGAAGGGAATACATTTTCCATGATAAACTTTTAATCTTGATTCAACACATTTTGGACATTAACATTCGGACGAATATCTTCCTATTTGTGTACCTCTTTGCTGGCAATTATTTCTCTCTCCTAGATTTGGATTTCCTGCTGAATAACATCACTTATTTGAATGATTACGTGTATTATAATCAGGTCAAAGTGGAGGAGTCGCTTTTCTTGGGAGTCGATGGCTGCTCATCCGGAAGCGCAGCAGCGATGGAAGCGGCGGGAAAGACGACCATCGAAATGAAGAAGACACAAAACCAGGACCAACAAGCAGCCAAGCAGGAAAAAATGACCACCGTTCGAAGCCCACACGGGAATGCCAAGAGTGAAGCAACCATAGAAAAAACAATAACCAGTAGCAACCAAAGTGGAAAAAAAAAGAAGAAGAAAAAAAGCACACGAAATGGGGTCGTGATTGACGATGTCGAGGGAGAAGATGAAGACGAGGAGGAAGAGGATGATGAAGAGGAAGAAGATGACCTGGATGACGATGAAGAAGGGGAAAAAAAAATAAATAAAATAAAAAATACACAAGATGAGGCCCCAGAAGAGGATGTACTAATCAATATAAACATCAGCAAAATTATTTATGTGCTTATTCTCATCAGTAACAAAAAGATCTTGGCTCATCTGGTTGAGGAGAAGCCCCCTAGGCCACTCAGTCCCAATTACTTTCTCGAACTGAATAAGAAGTACTACCAATTGGTGAACACTGAGTATTTTCAAATAATGAAAGACAGCTGCGCAAAGGACTGGATGGAGAACTTGGACAAGGACGTGGCTTTCTTCGAGAGTCTCAACCTTGACGAGATTGTAAATGGTGCGATTAATTGCGCTGATGCCAATGTTGCCACGTGGGAGGGCTTCCAACCGTGGGGCAATGACAAGTTCGGCAGTGAGGCGGACGACGCCATTCACACCAAGGCCCAGAAGCAGCACCAAGACAGGAAGAAGCACGATTTGGGAGACGGCAAAAGAGGAGACCCCCTAACCCTAACAGACAGCGACCTAGCCGTCATGAACGAAAATGACCCCATGCATGAAACGGCCCTGCAGAGGTACATCCACTTGCACAACTTCATCAAATTTAAGTTGAACTTTAACATTGCCGTGAGGAAAATTAACTTCATGAAGGAGAAGGATTATTCCACCTCTTCCTTCTATACCCTGGTATTTAAATACAATAGCGATTTGATAAGAGGCCTGCATAATCGGCTCTCCCACCAGGCGACAAAGACGCGTTCGCAGCCGCATCGAACAGGCAGCGGGGAATGTAAAACAAAGGATCAGTTGCCCGCAGCCGCTTCTCTCCTCAGCAGTAGTAGCAAGGACCTCCAGGTTAGCGTTAAAGACATTGGAAAGATGAAAGAAATATATGACAAATTCGTCTCAAGGAATACGAAGCCAAATCTAATAAAGGACCTCTACAGTAGGAACGTCCAAATTAACCAATTACTGATGAACACATTCCTGGACAAGGGAAGCTGCCTGAATCAGCCTCCGAGCGGCACCACGAAAGGTGTGCCTAGCAGCTCGAAAAAAGGACAACACCTCGGCAAAGCAGATGCACTAACAAGCGCGAAGGAGATGAAGATAAATCTTTCCAAGGCGGGACCCATTAATGACGACTGGCAGAGTGAGATTCAAATGGGGACAGGAAACAGTGCGTACGATAAGAGTGCATCAATAACAGGCGGACGAACGATGCTGAAGAACAATTACGCCGCGTTGTATGATCAGACGCCCACCAACAAGAACAGCGGCAGTTTGAAGATCTTCGGTGCACATGGCCAAGTTTCCGACGAAGTTGCAGTGACTAGTAGTGCCAACAGCAAGGGAAAGAAAGGAGCCTTATTGGAGGGAGGAAAGAACGTCGCCATTAGCGCGAATGAAGTTGATTCTCCGTCGGAGGACTCCAAGGGTGTAAAAGCCGCGCCCACGTCCGTTCCCACGTCGCCAACAGGTGGGTTACCAGCAAACGAAGGAACAATAAGCGCGATGAGCGGCATCAGTAGTAGCATGAACGCGATCACGGGCGCCTACAATGTACTGAGCGGAACGGGTAGCAGCAGCGCCCTGCACCCGAACAGTACCACCACGGCCCCACACACCAAGTTTGTCAAGAAAAGCAAATTTAAGAGAATATACAATAAAGACATCCCATACATATGCAACGAAGGAAAAACATGGATGGTTATTTATAAGCCAGCTTACTATCACTGCTCCGCCTACACCTCTCACAACAGATACAATTTCTTAGTCAACATCAACAAGTATAGTGATTACTTCTACAACATTCTAGAAAAAATATGCATCAAATGTAAAATGAAAACGAAATTTATGTGCCCCCCATGTAAAGAAATGGAGAACATCTGCAACAAGTGTGAAACGATTGTGGCTAGATTCTGCAAGAAATGCAATTTGTTAATAAAAAAGAACCGAGATGTTTTAAAAATCATTAATAGTATATCTTTGAATGATGTCATATATAGTGGACGAGTGGAGTCCTTTCACCTTTACATGATGAAATCCTTTCCTGAGTTGGAGACTGTTAAAAAATGGCACAAGTTAGAGTGTGGGCTGTGTCATCGTATCGATTTAGAAACGTCAGGTAGTTTGATCATTGCTAAAACGAAAGATGCTCGTGATTTCCTCTTTGACCAATTTCGAAAAAGAAATGTATACAAAGAATACCTACTCCTGTGTCATGGAAGGATTAAGAAGAAGAAAGGATGTATTAATAAATCCATACAGACTCACGAGTATAATAACTTTCATAGCAAGAGTCACTTCAGTCTGGTGGTCAAGACGGGTGGTACTGATGCCTACACAGAGTACAACTGCGTAAAGGTTTACCGACTTAAACGACAAATCGAGGATATCGTGCAGGATATCATGGCTGGCAGATACAACTGCAACAGTAGGGTTAAGAAGGACATTAACAAAGAAATCTATTGCAATGATTATTACAAATTTTTGGATGACGAGAAGAGGAACTTTGCGAGTATTATTCAGCGCTTCTTCGTTCAACAGATCAGACCGTCGTCTCATGGGGACATGCTGGACAGCACCGATTTGATGGCCAACGGGAATGGCAACTATGCCTTTGGGAACCCCATGTACGACGCGCCCATACTGGAAGGCAACAACAACGATTCATTCTTACAGCGAAGCAGCTGCAGAGTCGTCCTAAATTACCACTCCGACTCGCAGCTCCAGGAGCCTACAAAAGGGGGGCGAAAGAAGAAGGCAACGAGGAGGGGTAACAAAAAGGGAGAAGCTAAAAAGGATTCCGCGGAGGGTTTCCAAAGGGAAGACCAGAGAGCAGAAGAAGCAACCGCAGCCGAAGAAGCAGCCAGCGCAGCGGGGGTCACCTCGGAAGACGAACCGGACAACACGCTGTCCAAGCGGGAGGCACTACTCAAAAAGCTGAACATGTCCAAGGCGAACAAAAAGAGTAATAAGTATGATAACCGCTTCGGCTACCCAGCCATCAAAAGGAATGTGTGCCATCACCTCTGCTTCAGATGCAATGCCATCTCGGAAGAATATTTCCAGACGGATCCAAAAGAAGTGGAAAATTACACCAAAGAATTCACCCTCTGTAATGTCAAGATACACACAGGTAGAACCCACCAAATACGAGTTCATATGAGACACATAGGACATCCACTAGTCTCAGACAAGAAGTACCTGAACCCGTCGCTCAGCACTCTAGACAAATACTGGTGCTTTAGAATGTTCCTCCACTCCGTCATCCTCGAGTTTAACAATCCAGACTACTACTTTTACAATGTAAATGAAGATTTGACGAAAAAGAAAAAAACGTATGGAAGTGGAATTGGAACTGGCAGCGTCACCTCCTCCATCAGCGGTGGAGTCTACAAAATTCCAGACAGAACCGTCAAGGCGATATGTCCCCTCGCCAGCGACTTGCAGACTGTGTTGGATAACGAGCTCGAAGTCGCGGAGAGCTTGGAAGACGAAAATAGCTACGTCAACCGTATCCTCAAAATGAACATTAATGATAAACGAAATGAAGCCATGAAGATCTCCAGACAGAAGGCAACCACAGAGGAGTCGACCCAAGTGGACGCCGATCGTGGCTTCGAGACGAAGCTGTCGCCTACACGTGGGGTTAGCGCGCCAACGGGAAAGATGACTGAGCAGCCCGCCGCGAAGGATGCAGGGGATGAGACATACCACGAGGGAGACGACCGATGTGAGTATGACGATTATGAGGAACTCGATGAGTTCGGCGAGTTCGATGAGGAGGATGATGAGCAGGATGATGACGATGATCTGCAGGAGGAAGATGACGATGAGGAGAATTCGAATGAGGAGCACATTCAGGCGGTTGCGCCAGAGGACGATGACGAAGGGGAGGATCAAGTGGAAGAGGACGATGGGGAGGAGGAAAACGATGAGGAGAAAGACGAAGAAGATGAAGATGACGAGGTGGAGGAGGATTATGAGCAGGAAGAGGATTACGACCAGGAGGCGGACGATGAGGAAGCGGAAAACGTTGCCCTCTACGCGCGAAGAGACCACGCGGATAGTGTGCACGATGGGCACGATATGGACGATGTGCAGGTTACGAACGATACGCCTGCTTCCAAAGATGCGCAGGAGCATGCAAAAGGGTTAGTCAACCGAGGAGGCGAGGAAAAGCCGTCGCTAAAGAAGAAAGGACCCAAAAGAGGACAAAGTGAGCCGCTCCTACCACAGCTGCTGCAGCAGAAGGAGGAGGAGAATGAAAAGGAAGACCACTCCCCCCTTGGGGGTAGCAAAAAGGCGTCCGGAAAAACCAAGGTGCTTAAGGAGAAGAAAAAATCAAGCACAGCAAGAGGGTCGAGTGTAGACGTCGCGTCATATTTCGAATCAGACAAGGAATGGTCTGGCGAAGAAGAGGAGGAATACGACGAGGAGGAACAACCAGTCAGCGACGCATCACTGATCTGCACAAACAAAAAAACGATCTTCAAATTGCACCATAAAGATATTTTCTGCATGAAGAAGAACTCGCCAAAGGGAGAAACGAACGAAGAAGAAACAACACCGCACCGAAATGGTAGTGATATGCACCCATTCACAGTGACAGAGGAGGAGAAGAAGAAGGAGAAACTCAACAATGACTTTGGCCAAATAATGGAAGACGAAATTAACAGCAAGCTAAGAACAGACTTTATCTTCCTTCTCAACGAAGCTAAAATAGTTATTGATAATATCATAAGAAACAGCTTTATTTATAAGACATATTTTTATTTTTCCAAGCTGAGGAAGACTCTCTTTTATATTTTAGGTGCCTTTGGCAAGGATGCTTTCAGGAAGAAGAAGAGTTATGTCGAAATGAATTTAACGGAAGAGATGTTTAAGGAGGTGGGAAAGCAAGTCGAGAGGAGAGTACCAGTGGAGTTCCTGCACGAGTTGATTTTGTGTCTGTCCTACATGTTTAAAAACAATCTGCATGTGAAGAAGCGGAAGGACGATATCGTTGTGTATGCCCTGAGGCGCCACTTGAAGTTTCCACAGTCGGGACAGCTGGAAAAATTGGAAAGGGGCGATACGACAAACACTGCCCCTGTGAAAAGCGCCCATACGAAGACTTCCCACCTGTATGACGAAGCCGAACGAACGAGCGAAACAAAAAGCATCGTGATGACCCACTTCCACAATATCCTGTACAACCTAAACTATGCACTAATGCAAAAAGGAATCAACACGTACCAAAAACTCAAGAGCCAAATTGTGGGCAGCACAAAAAGCGTTTATTTAAAAATCACATGCATTTTCACCATGATCATGAAGAAGCTGAACGCGCAGGTGTATCTCCGAGAAGACTTCCACACTATGAACTTCATAAAGAATAAAAATATGTTTCGACTAAACAGCGTTGAGCAGTTTTTCGTTTTATATAAATTTTACGCGGAGAAAAAGGAAATAACGGAACGTAAACTAGGAAGCATCAGTAGCATCACTAGCAGCAAGCGGGGGAAGGTCGACAATATCAAGGTGAGGAACAGGGCCGCGGAAAATCATCTCATGGAGAAAATAAAAAAGATATTCTTTAAGGTCCACAAGGAGAAGGGGAAGGCTAGCGGCACTGACGACGTTCAGAAGATGCAGTATGGGCAAGCCAAGCAGGCAAAGCAACTGGAGCACCAACAGCAGCCGCAGGATCAATGGCCCCATGACGCCGCGTACTACCTCAACAGGGACGAGCTACCCTCTCTGCACACGGACGGCTACGACCAAATTAGCAGAAACGAAGAGACAACTCAGAAAAATCAAGACATGGATAGGAGTAGCTCCCATAGTACCGGCGGATGTAGCAGGAAAAAGAGCTTCGGCATAATCCAGGACAACGTCCACATGGACCTGGGCGCCGACCTCAGGAAGCAGCACTTCCTCCAGGAGCAGAAGGGGAACCTCTTTATGGGCAGCTTCAAGCCGTTTGACAACTTCGGTCCCTTCGACACCCTGGCCCATATGCAAAATATGGAAGGAAAGACAAACCTGGAAAGCGTGGAAAGTTTTCACCATTTGTCGAACATACAGGGAGCTCATAATGTAGGCAGCTTGGATAACCTTCCCAACCATCAGAGGTTCCAAGACACAATTAGCGAACATTTGGCAAAGTGGGATTGCATTTTGCGCATGGAGGAAGAGCGGCGCGGAAGAAACGACGGCATTTCTTCCTTCGACGAGGAAAGCAAACTGGCAAACGGACTTTTAGAAAAAGGCAACTACAACAGATTGGCTAGCAGGACTGGTCACCTCCCCTTGGAGCCGCACAGCAACACCCAGCACGGGCAGCAGACCCAACATAGCCCGCCTAATCAACACAGTGCCTACCTGCTCAGTGCAAGCGACTCGCTGAAGAAAAAATTCGAAGTGATGAAAAGTCTGGACGAAGAAGTCGCTCGGGAAGCGCAACAGATGATGCTCATGGGAAAGGAGAGCGGCCTGAGCCCGGGACTACACACCGGCGGTAGCAACAGTGGCAACAGAAACGGTAACATTAGTAACAGCATGAATGGCATGACTAGCATGAACAGCATGAGCAAAATGGACGCCAGCGGCCAGTATGAGCTGCCACCGAACAGCCATCTGCCAGCATTCTGCAGCAACATGCCTCTGAGCGGCCTAGTAAACAAGGGTTACCAGCACCAGCGAGGAGCCATCCCATTTCTGGAGGCGGCAGATGAGGACAAGAGTCAAAGAGAAGCCAAAACGGCGTTCTTTAGCTTTGGCGAAAGTAGGAACATGTTTAGCCGTGCAGGCAGCAATAATGAAGGGTCGTATGTGGGACGTGGAGGCTACACCAAGGGAGACGTAGGAGGAGTAGAACGCGTAGAAGGCATGGGGGGCATGGGAGGCATAGAAGGCGTAGGTAGAATTGGCCGTGACCTGGTGCTCAGCGGGGAGGAAGGGAAGTATAGCATCAAGGAAAGCGGTGCCGGGGGGTACGAAATGGAGCTAATGCGCAGAGCAGACCGCTTAGATGGTGTGGACGGCCTGGACCGTCTTAACCGCCTGGACCGCCTTGATCGCCTTGACCACCTGGCCCGACTTAACCCCCTTAACCGCGTGGAGGAGGAGCCCGAGGAGGACGAAGAAAACGGGTACAACAACTTCATCAAGGAAATCGAAAGGATAAAAATGGAAACAAACAAATGCCAAGAGAACTACGAAAAGGAAATGATGGAAATAAAAAAAAAAAAAAAAGAAATTAACTACATAAAGGAAACCAAAAGAGATGAAGAAATTAATCACAAGTTTGCAGACGCTACTCTGACCAACTTTACCCTCCTCTTACTGAACGCATTTCAGCTATATGGACTAAGCATGGTAATCAAATTGCTCATATACGAAAATGATATGATTCTCCCTCAGTTCAAAGAAAACATCAAACAAGATGACACCACAACAAACATTGAATTCTTCATTAACATCTCTATTGACAAGATTTTTGAATACCTATTGTTGAAAAATATTTTGAGCAATGCGAACATAAAGCGGTTAAAGGAAAAATTCATTCAGGGACAGACTGCATTTGAGGCCATTCGAAATGATGCCAACAATCTGATCAAGGAGAATATAAAGGAGCACAACTTTGTCTACATTTTGTATAAAGAGAGATCTCGTATTTTCGATGTGTACGAAAGGAAGAAAACGATATACAATTTTCTCATCATCCTCATCGATAAGGTTCTTCAGAAATACCTCATCAATGAATACGTCATGATTAGGCGCAATGAAATTTATGAGAAAATGCTTAGAGTGCTCAATCGAAGCAGGGAGATTGTCAACAATAAGGAGAGGCACCAACCCTCCTCTCTACGCTTTGGGGACAATGCGGGAAACGGCGGAATGCCTGATTACGGCTTCGTTGGTGCGCAGCAGTTCCGCCTCGAAAAGGGCGCAATGGCTATGGGGGGCAGCGTTAGCGGTGTTAGCGGTGTTAGCGGTGTTGGCGGTGTTAGCGGTGTTGGAGGTGTTAGCGGTGTTGGCGGTGTTAGCGGTGTTGGCGGTGTTAGCGGTGTTGGCGGTGTTGGCGGTGTTAGCGGTGTTGGCGGCGTTAGCGACCTTAGCGGTGTTACTGAGCTTCGCGGCGTGGATGGCGCTTTTGGTGGCTCCTTCAGCCCTCGAATGGGCCTGCACGACCTGGGCGCCCCCAGGAGGGAATTCAACAACGGAGGCAGCGGTAACGACAGCTACATGAACTTCAACCAGGAGAGGCGAGGCAGCCTCCACGAGCAGAAAATCCTGAAGGAGCTGGGACAATTCTCCGGCATGACCTACCCGGGTATGCACGACCACCTAAAAGGAGCACTGGTGGCGAGGGCCAACTCGTACGCCAGCAACACGAGCAATGTCGGTAATGTCAGCAATGTCACTAATATGAGTAACGCCACCAATTTTAACAAATTTCTCGACCTGTACGGAAAGATCAATTACAGTGGAAGGGAGGCGGAGAGTAGAAGCGGAATAGACGGAAGGATCGGAATGAGCGATCGAATAAACCTCGATGGCAGAGTGTCCGTAAACAACCTGGGCGGCATCCCCGGAGGAGGAAGCAACCCCCTCATCGAGAAAGGCAAGATCCTGAAAAACAGCTCCTATAATGACGTCAACGCGATGCAGGCGAAGAGCAAGCATGAGAACGGTCATCTCTATGGCCTCGGAAATTACAAGAGTAACTCCTTCAGCACGAACAACCTAAGCTTGCTGCATCTCTCAAGCAACCACTTGGCGTCCCCGGACAAGGGTACTGGGCACAGCGGCAGTCATGGAGGAGATATCCACGGAGGAGGAATCCACGGGGGGGGTAGTCACAGTGGCAGTCATAGTGGTAATCATGTAGGAAGCCACGGCCACCTCAACTGCAGCTGCTGCCACGCGGAACCGCTGAAACATTTGGCGAAGGTCGCATCAAACGAAAATAAATTGAAAGAAATAAACCTCAGCACGAGTTTGAACAGAGGAAACTACGATACTGACAATTTCGACCACTTCTATACCGCAGGTAGCAACAGCAGAGTGTTGAATTCGTATCAGGACATGGAAAAGAAGATCACGGAAAAGAAAGGCGAAAATGAGCACCTCCTCCTCGGCGCTCCCTCCAACTACGCAAGCAGTATGAGCATCAGCATGAGCGGTATGAACAGCCTGAACAACCTGAACAGCCTGAACAGCGGTGTTGGCCAGTCGCACGCGCGAAGCGGACAAGGCGAAAAGGCAATCAATATGTCCTTCTTGGACGACTTCAAAGCGTCCATACAGCATTTTATAAACAACAAAAATGACAAGGAATTCGAAAAGGAGGAGGAGAAAAAAAAAAGAATCCTCGAGCAGAAACACATCCTACAAATGAAGGACAGTAGCAATAATGAGGAAAATGAGAGCCTTAAAAAAATAAACAGCTTTTATGAAAATATTTTGAGCAATACGTTTGAACATAACATTGGCAGTGCGTTGGGCCGAGCGGAGGAACGGAACATCAAACCCGCTAACAACCTTCTGCCTGAAGCGGATCGCGAGGAAGACTTGGACACTTCCGACAGGAAGAAGCAGAAGGCCCGCGAGAGGAAGAAGAAGAATAAAAAGGACGGAAACGTCGGCCACGTCGGCGGTGGCGCTCACAACAGTGGAAAGGACGATTCGGATGAGCGCTCTGATGATGTGGGTGCATACCAGTTCGCCGGCAACATGGGTGGTATCGACGGCAACATGGCTGCTAGCGAAGGCAACAACGCACTCAGCACAAACGTGAATGCTTACCCACAAAGCTTTGGAAACACCATCGCGGAGATCTTCTGCAAAAATAATATGAGTATAGCAAACGATGACAAGGAAGAACCGGTCGCCATAAACGACGCCGCAAGATACGAAGCTGCAAGATACAACGCTTCAAGTTACGAAGCTGCAGGTTACGACGCTGCAAGATACAGCGCTGCAAACTACTACGCTGTAAACTACGACGCCGAGCGCACAAATAGGAGTGGAAATGATCTCAGTGCCCCCCTGATGGAGGAGAATCTCCACATGAACGAAAACCTAGAAATGAAGTATCGAGCACTATTTGCTAACGTAACGGACAACTTCATTCACCAAAACAACATGATGAGTAAGAGCAACAACGTGAAGATGGCTCAGGAGTATAAGGACATGCTTAACAACACCATGTCGAGAGGGAATCAAATGGAAAGTAAACGGCTAGCTCACGACTTTCTAATGAATAGCAATAATTCCGTCGCGAACTATATGAATGAACTTGTCTCACCCTCGCCCCCACCTCCTTCCTCGTCGTCCTCCTACAATAATAACAGTTTGAATCGCATGGAAAAGGGCACACATGATATGGACCTACTGAATAGCACCACCAACGCGTTGTTATTTAAGAGGCTGGGAAACTTCGGACCGATGAGTGGTGACCTCCCAGTGAGTGGCGACCTCTCAGTCAGGGGAGACCTTTCAGTCAGGGGAGACCTCTCAGTCAGGGGAGACCCCTCAGTCCGGGGCAACTTCCCCATGGGGCACTACCTGAGCGACAACAACCACGGGGGCCAAAACGTACCTAACATGAAATACCAGAATGCACTGAAGAATAATTTCCTCTGCGTAGGAGGCGAAGCGACGAAGAGCATGAGCGAGTCCAACATCGTAAATATGCTGTCGGATCTAAATAACAAGGACCTCTTTAAATCCATGAACATCAATAGCGGAGGCAGCGGAAATTACATGAATCACATGGTGGCGGACGCTTTTTTCCCCGAGAGTAACAGTCACGGGATGATGGTGGGCCTGCAGAATAATGGGGCGAGGAGGAACGTGCCGGACAAGTACAGCCTGCTGGGGGCGGAGGCCAGCGGCAAGGCGCTCGAGCCGCGCAGCAGCAGCAATGCCGGCGGTGGAAACCTTAGCGGTGGAAATCTTAGCGGCGGGAATGTCGGCGGCGGAAGTGTGAGAGGCCTCGCGCACCTGCACCCCTCCAACAGCTACAGCAACCTCTATGACGCCAAGGTGAATTCCGTCTCTTTGAGGAAGTATCGCCCCATGAACTCGTTCTTCGACCTCGAGGAGGGCAAGGAAGAGACCAGCAACAACGGAAATAACCTCAGGAGCAAAGCCAACATCATGATCCCACCAAGCGACCTGATGAGCAGTAGCAGTGGAACCCACCTCCCCATGAACAACATGCACCTTGGAGAAGATCGAAGCAAGAACATGCTTTTTTTAAACAACGCGTACGACATAATGAACCCGAGCTGCACGAGAAGCCCTAATAATACTGATGTGCAAAATGGAAAGTCCCCATACACCTACGCAGAAGTGAAGAACATGTTCAGAGAAGGAACACTTATCAACAACGCTAATATTAGCAGTAATGGAATTGGTAATAACCTGGGGATGCAATTTAGCAATCCCCTGGCTACCTCCTATTTCAACAAGACCTATGCCAATGTAGAGGTGGCGAATAAATTTAAAGACTTCGACGAGAGGCAACAGAATTTGATTTACAATCTGATGAAGCAGAATGCAGAGCAAGAAGGCATCAGTAACAGCAGCCTGATTGGAGACTATAACGAGAGTAAACGCGGCAATAATGATACCCTGCTTAATGCCCCGGTTAATGTCCAGCTTGGAAGTAAAAGCAGACTAGAGGCGAGCTCTTGTCTGGAGGCAGATATTCGGGATCGAAACATCAGCGGCAAGGTGCACGTCTCCGCGGGGAAGAAGAAGCAAACCAATGCGAAGAAGCACTCGGATGAGGGATGCGCTAGCAGCCAAGCTGTTGAGAAGAGCGGCAGCAACAGCAGCAGCAACAACAAGAAGAACAACAAGAACAACTTTGCTAATAGCGGAGGTCCTTATGAAACCGAATTGTCCACCAAAGGAGCGTTAGAAATGAGCCGCGGCAAAGGGGGAAGTGCTCCTCCGAACAGCAGCGGTTTGCACTCCCTACCCCTTGATGACAGTTCGACCAAAATTAAAGATAATAAAATGGCACTTTGCGGCAACAGTAACAGTTGCACCGAATCGAATACGCCCCAAAAGAGCGCCGACGTAGCCCCACAGAAGAACACAAATGAGCAGCAAGCGCCCACGGGAAGTGTGCCGTCCAGCAATGCTAAGGCCAATAGCGGAAAGGGGAAAGGCAATAAGAGTAAGGGTGCTGGCAAGGGAAATAAGAAAAGCGGCGGGGGCAAGAAGGATAAGAGCTCCAAGTAACCGTCTCAGCATAGCACCAAGGATCTGTAGCAATTGTACCTCTTCACACGATTAGGCACGCAGAGTTGATGAGAGAGCTCTCGGAGTGTTGACCGCTACATGTACATATGTATTGTGCGCAAGTTTGTTTACTTATTTTATTATATTTTATTTTTTTTTTTTTTTTTTCCAAAATGGTACTAGTCCCAATTTAATTCATTTATGCCTGAACAACACGTGGAGGAATCCCCGCTTGGGTGATACCTAACAATATATTACTGTGTCAAAGGTCGAAAAAAAATTTAAAAATAAAAATTGCGATTAAAATGACCACTATAAAAGATACCACGAGAAAAACAATGTACATGAAGTTATCACGGCGCTCCTGAGCTATGAGCATATATCTCACTGTTGGACTTTTTTCAAAGTTGTACATGTGCTTCTCTTCCACTTCGCTGGGGATTTCATTACCCCCCGGGGGGATTAGTGATTCCCCCATGAAGGGTGTGAACTTCGTTGACACGAAGGAGTATAACCCTCCTTTCTTCTGTGCCTCTCGTTCAGCCATGTGCTTCGTTGCCCCGCTGGTGCTCCGATTAGCCAGTCCAGGCTGCTTCGTTTGTGGCGTTTCCCGGGATTTCCGCGATTCCCACGATTCTTCCGATTGTTGCGACTGTTCCGATTGTTGCGACTGTTCCGATTGTTGCGACTGTTCCGATTGTTGCGACTGTTCCGATTGTTGCGACTGTTCCGATTGTTGCGACTGTCCCGATTGTTGCGACTGTCCCGATTGTTGCGACTGTCCCGATTGATGCTGCCCCCCCAGGGGTTCCATGCTATGTCTCCATTGGCCCGTCCATGCGTTCTTCCCAGCCCCCCTTCGGATGGCCCTACTAACACATCCTGCCAATTTCACATCGTTCAAGTAGCCCAGGAGGGTAAGAAGACAAAGGAGGAAAAAAAACGAGGCCACTTTTCTCATCTCTGTTCTCTTCGTGTTGTATCTTCCAAGGTATGTGTGGGGGAGTTCATAACTGCTTGGTTAACACATGACTACCCCCGTTTCTCCCCTCTGAGTGAACTAAAAAAAAAAAAAAAAAAAAAAAAAAGTGCCTTCTGTGCACCCTGTCGTGTTTGAAACGATCGCAGAAGTGTGTTAACATAGGTTAAGGCATAACTGGTGGGACATGAGGTGGAGCAATCAGTAGGAGAACATGTGGCATTTTTTTTCCTCTTCGCCATGCCCCATAGTGTGTACACGCACAACAGTACCAATGTCTACGCGCAATTCAACTCTGTGCATGCGGAACAGGAAGATATGGTGGTCGTTTCGCCAAACATGTGTTTAAATAGGACACACTCAAGGAATTTGCCCCAATATGAACAAAACTTTTGTGCCAAGTTACACAGGAGAGGAAAGGAAAGAGAAAGGAAAAAAAAAAAAAAAAAAAAAAAAAAAAGAACAAAAAAAAAGAACAACAGAAAAAAACAAACCCGTGCATTCAAGTGCTTTGGAAACCCTATTCATTTTAACCCTCCTCCGTTCTGTCATCACGTAGTAGCAACCATGTGATTCTCCACACCTCGCACGTAGTTTTCTTGAACCATATTTTTGGGAAGGCATAATTGTCATTTTGGATTTATGCGCCTGCCTATTCAAAGAAGACACTTCCACCTCTAGCACGAACCCCTTCCCATGTTGGTGACGTGGGTGTTTTTTTCTGGGGGGGGAAGAGGAGGAGGAGCAGCAGGAGGAGTTAATCCCTCGGTGACTTTCTTTCTCCATCGTGCAATCAGTGCATGTGCCCCTCCCCACCGAAACTTCTCAACCTATTAGAGGTCCTTAAAAGGAGCACATCGAGCATTGCCTTGCTACCTCCTTTTTGTACCTACCATAATGTGGTAAGCATGTGCACAGACAACAGGACTCTTTCTTCTTACTTGGCAGGGGACTGCACTGTTTGTTTCTTCCACGATTGTGGAGGTTTTTTGGGGGCTGGACGGATGGCCCATGGCCCTACGTGCGTACAGGCACTTGCCTGCTTACATACGTGTATATACCTATGCATGGAGAGTGACACACTTTTCCCACCTTTCCCTCAACAACTGGCCGTGCAACCGCTGGCGACGCATCCTCACAAGCAGCATTGTTAGCACCGAGATGACAGAGATGGAGAGGGGTTTAACCACACAGAGGAGTCAAGTATTAAATTCCTACAACTGCCTCGTTCCTTCTTATGTACAAAAGGTGAGACACAGGCACAGACCCTTCGGGGGAGGGGGGTGGCACATAAGCTTAAATGACAAAGGACTACCTTGCTTCCAAAACAGACTCGAAAAGAAGGCACCCAATTTTTTTGTACCCACTTTCTTGTCTCGCTTCCCTTCCTCTGTTGTCATTTTTCTTTTTAAGAGGGCAGTGTGGTTCCCTTTTTTTGGAAGCAAATATAATAGGACCCATTTTTTGTACCGTTTTTGTACTTTTTTTTTTTTTTTTTTTTTTTTTTGCTGCTTTTTGTTGCCACGCTTGTGAAGCACTTCCAAAGTGGAATATACTTTCCCCTGCGCTTTTCCCACTTGGACTTCTAGGAAAGTTTCGCCTTTCGACACCAGTGCACTTTTCCGTTGTATGTTCATTTTATGGACATATCGCTACCCAGGGAAGAGCCACCCACTCGACGGTGCTTCCGCGGCAAGGGGGCTGCATTTTCTGTGCTAAGTTGGCGCACTTGGAGGAACGAACAAAAGAAAGGAAAAAAAGAGGTAGCCAAAAAAGGTAGTAAAAAAAGGTAACCAAAAAAGGTAGAAAAAAAAGGTAACCAAAAAAGGTAACCAAAAAAGGTAGGAAAAAAACCAAGCAACATAAGGCAAAACAAACAAACGAACGAAGCAAGCGCAACGACGCCAGCTATGCATATTGGGGGAAAAATGCAGACGCAACTGCACATCGCAGACGAAACTGTCAGTGTAACTCTTGCAGTGTTTAAAAATGTCACCAACGCGAAGCAGCTTCTAACGGCGTACAATGAAAAAACGCTGGATGGAGACCCTGATATGCGCCGCTTCTTTCTCCTATTAGATTGCCAACTGGTAAGGGAGTCAAACAAATGCGCGCAGGGGGACAGCCCCCCCACAGTAGCTGTACTTATTTCTAGAGAAAATAACCCCACCAACAAGACAATGCCCTGTGATGGGAAACCACAATTAGGATAAAGCTAACTGAATACTCCCCCCTCCTTCTCAACTTCCCTTTTCACTTCAATCCCCATTCAGATTTTCAGTGAGAATCACATACTGCACAGCCTCTACAGAGCGTATCATAATCTCTTAACAAAAAAAAGGGTCACCAGAAATATCGTGCTGGAGGTTTTCTTCTTCCTATCTGCGCACGAAAATGTGAGTTTTGGTGTCGCGTCCGCCCACCCACTGAGCCACCGCTCCCCCATTCATGGCATCGTCATTTACCCCTCCTCCGTTTATCCCTTCTCCGTCTATCGCCGCCCCTCCCCCCCCCAGATCAACGAATGCCTCAAGCAGTACCAAATGCGGGAGGCCTCCTCCTCGGTCATTTACGTCGGCGTCAACATTCCGGATGACGAGGTGGGCCCGTCTACACTGTGCACTTGGTGGCGCGTCGCACAGAGTCGTATGGCTCCCATCGCCTTCATCGCCCTCATCGCTCTCATCGCCCCAATCGGCCACATTGCCTCCATCACCCATGATATCACTCCCCCCAATGCAGGTGCTCTCCTTCACGGACCTGATATGCGGCCAGCGGACAGGCGTGGATGACATCCCCTTCCTGCGCGACGAGAAACAAATTATGCACAACTTCAAGTGTGCAGGGGAAGTAGCAAACCTGGAGCGCTTCATCTATCATGCCATCGCCTCGAAGAAGCTTAACTTAGGGTGAACAAATCGCGTCGTGAGCGAAGCATATATATTGGAAGCATGTATGAGCGAAATGCACCACCTCTACATACGTAACATCCTTTTTACTTTCCTTTCAACTTTTCAACTTGGCGTTGTGAGCAGTTGTGGACATGTTCATTTTTTTTTTTTTTTCTTTTTTTGTCTTTCCTTTTTTTTCTTTCCTTTTTTTCCTTTCCTTTTTTTGGTTCTCCTTTCCCTCAAAAACCTACGCCTCTCCTCTTTTCGTCTCTCTCCCCGTTCGCCATCCGAACAGTCGTTTCGTGCAACCATCATAAATGGGCAAACGTTGGAAAGTGCCGCAGGAGGGGTGGGCGCGATTCGCGACGAGGTGAAAAGGGAAAGAAAAAATAATAAAAAAAAAAGGTAAAAAAATGGTGAAAAAATGGTAAAAAAAATGGAAATAAATGGAACATAAGCGAGGGGGAATTTCTCTTAGAAGCCAGGCAAAATTACACCCAAATTGGTAAACAAGTGATTTAAAAGGAAAATATGACAGGCGGACTGTGGAGAGCATATATATATATATACATATATATATATATATATATATATATATATATATATAAACGCTGATGAAGAGGAGGCACGTGAGCTTCTTGCGTCCTGATAATGTACCATCGCACATCCGATTCAGACGGCACTGCTCTGGCGCACCTCTGCATGAGGGTATCACACAACAGCCGCTCCTTAGATCATGTAGGGGAGGTCCAAGTGGTCGTCCACGGGGAGACCACAAATGATTCGTACATAGTTGCAGAGACTCTCCAGCTGGGAAAAGAAAGAGTGCCTCGTTTTGTACACACTTGAATTGAAGGGAGATTTACAGAAAAGACTGGATAAGAAGAGAACACATTCCATTTTTTTAAATTCCGGATACTTCGCTTTTACAATGGTGTGAGCCAATTTATAATCCGGACCAACGCTAATAGGGTTGCTGATCTTGGACTGCGCACCGGGAACAATTCCCGAGGCACTTAAAGATGGACCCTTAAAGTAAACTCTCTGAGACAATTCCACCAAAAGAATTAAATCAATCAAAATGGGAGAAGCCAACAGAGAATCCTGGCAAACATTATACAGCGAAATTGTGTTCTTCCCGTTCATAAAAATTTCACTAATATACTCATCGATGGCTTTCTTATCATCTCCTACATAGGGGACATACTTTATAACAATCTCGCTGTTAACCTTCTGCTTTTCTATCGCCTCTGCATATGCGTAATCCGCTTCCAGATCTGTGACGTCCGTGGAGGTGGACAACAGGCTGTCTCCCTTGCAGTAGTCTGCACTCTGTTTGATGAATTTACTGGACAGGGCTGCCTCTTCTTCTTCGTCAGCGTACATATGCTCATTCGCCTTGACGTAATCACAGATGAGGTTGCTCTTTGAGATTTTCTTGCTGTAAAATTGGAGCTCCGAGGAGAGGTTCTTTCCGTCGTTGTTTCCGAGGTGGTTGTACGAGACGATACTCTTCGGTTTCAGGCCTAGGGGGGGAAGTGGAAAGTAGGACAATTTGGAGGTGGGAGGAGTTATCGGGCAGGGCCAGTCGCGTGGAAGCGGCAGAAAGGAAAGCGGAAAAATGCGAAGCGGAAAAATGCGAGGCGACAAAATGCAAAGCAGCACCGCACAGCCGCACCGCGTAATGCTACTCGCTGCTTAGCCGCGCCTTACCCGTGCCGAAGTAAAAGTCGAGGAGGAAGTTCTTGATCTTCGTTTGGCCCGTCTTCAAGTCATTTCCGACGATGAAGATGCCTTTCTGCTCAGCCAGATGTACCACACCACTGACGAGAGTATTCTGGGGACTGCTGTTGATAAAGGGAGAGTTCTCCAAAATCGAGGCCAAGGCATACACAATACTTGGAGAAACAGATGGGTGATTATTCTTACATGCCAGAAGGATATTTTCATATGTATCATTCACCCCTTCGATGTATGGAATGTTCTTCTCAGTGTTCCCAGACCATAGGACAATTACTTCGTCTAAATTATTTGCCTTCTTAAAGCTACAGATCTGTCCTCTCACTTGTTCCAGAACTTCTAGCTTATTGTTTCCCACAAGAATATTGTTTACTCTCTTCTGCTGATTGGCTGCAATGAAATTACCTTTGAAGTAGACACTCTTCAGTGGGACGTAGTTCATGTCGTCTTTTATTTTTTCTACCAAGTCTTGTTCAAATACTTTGTTTCGCATAAGACAATCTTTTAAATTCAGATTGTTAAGATCCCATCCTCCGAAGGTGATATTCTCCGGATTGTACACCTCGATTAGCTTGTGTATGGGACAATAGGAATGCTCTCGACTCTTTGCATCATAGCCTAGCCTCACGTTGGAAGAGAGGAAGACACTGCCCAAATAGTTTGCCTTCTTCACGTCGTACTTATTTGTGTACATTAGCTTCTTCGCGTTTGCACAGATTCCTCCTAACAACGTCGTGGCGTTGTTTCCTCCAATGCCGATTAATAACACCCCCAGTTTTTTCTCCTTCATTTTCTCCACCTTGATTTCGTAGCTCGTGCTCACCTTCTTGCAAGAGAACGTGACCTTTCCCCCTGCGCCACCTTTTCCACCACTGCCACTGCTCCCCTCCTTCTGCACTTGCGTCTCCACATGTTCGTACGTCGCGTACACAAAGTTGTCGTCTTCCTTCCTGTCGAATTTCACCTCGATCCCGTCCTCCTTTCCGTAGGCGCTGCTTCCTGTTGGCGCCTTCGCCGCGAACTTCAGTCCCTGGAAGTTTTCCATGCCGGGGGGGAGGTTAGCCGTTAAGCGATAGCCGCTTGGGCTGCAGTCGATTTTGCCTCTTATGCGATTCGCTTCGTCACGTGGCTTCCACTCGGGGGGTAGCTGGGGGGGCACTCCCTTGTTGCTCCTCTTGTGCACACTTCCTTTGCCGACTTTTCACGTTACTCCTGCGGGAAAAACGCGATGGGGCAAAAGGGGGCGTAAGATGGGAGCACTCAAAAAATATGTCGAAGTGCGGCACATGCGGGGGTTACTCACGGGCGAACCACTTGCTGCTCGTGGCGACACACACGAATCTGCACCTTGGAACAAATCCAACCGAGTTAAAAAAGAGAAAAAAAAAATAAAGTTAAAAAAAAGATCAAATGGGAGCTTATCATTAGAAATAATTTCCTCACAGTTGCACGATGCAATTTTTTTCGAACACTTCGGGATGCGAATTACTTTTTAACGCGACATACACATTTGCCCAATAGTGCTGTGAAACGCATTCTCCCCCTTTGTAATGCCGCGTTGGGATGGTACACAGGTTAGAAGTATCCCCCGCTTGATACTCTCCTCTCCTTGCTAGGTTCTTATCACGCCCTAGGGAAAACCGCATCAGTGGCAATCCCTTTGGTAGGTGTCTCTGCTTATTTGCACAACTCCGTGCCAATCATTTTGTTCATTTTGTTCATTTTTTTTTTCTTCTTTTTTTACTTGTATTATGCACGCGATGTGTTCTTTGGAAGTGCCTCCTTTCGTGGGGGTGGACGACTGTTCTTTCTCAAAAGCTTATATCAATGAACTTACGCTTCAGGCAGCGCGTATGCACGTTTGCGCTAACTATATGCAATGCTATTTCTGTTACGTGCACTTAGAGAAATGCCGCTCCCTTTTTCGTAGATCTAATGTGTTTTTCTTCCCTTCCTACTCTGTACTCATTTAAAAAAAAAGAAAAAATCGCTCTTAACCTTTTGGCGTTCGCGTGCGGTCTCTTCCTGATATATCCGGTCACTTTTAACTTCGTTCGCTTCGCTTCTTCGCTTGGCTTGTTCGCTTTGCCACTTGGCACCTTACAGTGGGATGACAGCGCCCGTTTGAAAATGTCGAGAAGCTAAGGTTCAGAATACGTTCATAATTTGTTGGCAACGTTTTCAAATTTTTTCAAATTTTTTCAACTTTTTCATTTTTTTGAAACTTCTATTATAACAATTGTGATGACCTTTCGTGTTTACAAAATATGCACTTCTTTTTTTTTTACCTGTTTGCGGTTTTCTTCCGAGTCGACACTATACTCCCCTGTCGACCAGTGGAGCATCTTTTGTTCTGAGCTGGGGAAGTACCCGTATCGCATTATGCAGGTCAGTACGCATGTCGAAAGGTACTTCACAGCGCATGTCGCTCTGCAGATCGCTCTGCACATCGCTCTGCTTTGAGCTGCACTGTCGCTACGCTTTCACTTATCGTTCACTACGCTCCTGCGACGCCTTTTTTGTGCGCCGTTTTGTGATCACCTTGGCCGGCGAAAAACAGAGCGCAGTGTCGATCCATGCGGGGCAGCAGCGTGCCTACTTGGATGCGGAAAAAATGGCTGACGCGCGACGTGCCTCTTGCGATAGAGCTAATGGTAACAACGCACCTATGGTTCCCACCCCGAAAGTATCCTCTCGACTGAATGTATCATCTCTGCATACTTTACGTTCGCCTTTCATCAGATGCGCATACTTACGCAGCCTAACTCACCTTCCGACTGCAGCCTTTTCCCAGCGAATTGTCACAAAAATGAATCCTCACCGCGGGATCGCGTACAGTGCTCTGAACCAGCGTGCATAAACAAGTGCGCCTGTTCATACCGTTGCTCATCTGCCACAGATGTATAATCTCTTTCCCGTCCCGTCCTCTCATGTTCTACTTCAAGTGACCGTCACACGGTGGTAAACCCTCGTTCGACCAGTCCCTATCTTAAATTCCAACCGGATCAAAACACTCACGAAGGGTTCTGCGTTACCCCTCATCAGGTGGAAGTTATCCTCGTGAGATTTACAATTTTGGGATGAATTCTTCCCCCCACCGAAGAGATTTCCGTCTGATTTGCACACAACATAGGAAAGGGGCACCGGGCACATAATCTGTGTATACTTTTACATGTCCTGTCCTCCCCCGTACATGCTTGAAAGGGAAGGAAGATATCACTTAGCCTTCCGTTGAACACGTGGACCCATCCCTGTGTGTACGTCCGGGGGGCGGATCCCAAATGGTCATTCCGTGAGCTCACCGGCAAGCATCTCAAAATGGATTCCACAAGGTGGAATTGCAGAACGAAGGAAGCCTCCTCCCTCCTCGGCATGTCACTTGATCAATCGAAAGCCAAGCCACACACGTCGGCCACATGCATATGAATATATATATGTACATAGGTATATATGTATATACATTTGTGCTTTCTCTGCTGCCAACGCCCACGGACAATTTCCTCTACAAAAAGGGGGCATCGAAACAGTCCAATTTTCCAAATGATCGAGGCGTTCCCAATTTGGGTGAACTTCCTTGTAGCTCTCCTTTCGTCCACTACACTTTTTTCTGGGTGAGAAGAACATTGCGTTTTTGAACCCACGGGGATGGCGTCTTCGCCTTGACACCATTTGGCCCCTACTGCACGTAGTACTACCTCTTAAGATTTGCTCTCCACCCAGGGCGTCAACCCTTCGCCGTTCCTCACCCATTAGGGGGAATAAACTACTTGGATGAATGTCCTCCCCGTTTGTGCCGCTCCTTTTTTGGGCGTCGACGGTTCTCTTCTCCATGTAAAGCGGCATATTTAGGTTCTCTTCCCCGGCAACGTTTCGATGTTTTTTTTTTTCCCATCACGCAACTCTTCAAATGGAAAAGGCTTTGTTTTTGTTTTTTTTTTTTTCTTTTCTTACAAAATGAAGTGTACAGGTTAATGCGTAGGTAGCCAACGCTAAGCGACTAGCGTGGGGGAGGAACAACGAAGTTGTCCCCGTTTGATGAGAAGCTTGTCGAAGGAAATGGAGGCTCCAAAGCAACGTGGTATTTCCATCTTAAAGGGGGTGCACCTCCTGAGTGTTGCGTGTAGCCACAGGGGGTGGCCGGAGGGGTGAAAGTTAAGTAAGCAAAATGATAAGAACACCGCGGTTGCTACTCTGGGGGAAGGAAAGACTGTACAGCACGTTCACGTGCAGACGCGACAAATTGGATTCCCTTAAGAGGATATCATACGAGTTCTACAAAAGAAGCCAAGGCAAAAAGGGGGTGCCTGCAAGGTTGCAGGGGGAGATGGCCCCAGGCGCAGCGACGTTGAGTGAGATCCCACCCGATGATCTGCCACCCGATGAGCGGCTGTACCGCGAAGCAGTAACCGTAAGCCACTCCGTTGAGAAAATGCTCCGGGAAGACATATACAACAGCCAAAGCTACGTCCTAATCCTTAAGGGGCTAGTCAACACCCTCACCCATGTAAGGGGTAAACGGAAGAGAGCACACTTATGGAAGCTTATTACCACCTTTGTGGGATGCTTCCAACGATACGTGCACCTCATGAATGAACAGGACGTCACCTTGTTGTTGGATGTAATGGCAAAATGTTCCATCCGGAAACCAGAAATAACTGACCTGATAATGCAGCGGCTAGGCAAGGGTGAAAAAAACACGTTGTTTTACTCCCTCAATTCGAAGAGCGTCTGTATCATTTTGAATAGCCTACACAAGGTGGTAACTCAGGGGAATCCCACCCATCGCTACGCCAGCGCAGTTCACCGCCTAACCAGTGATGTCTTCCACTTCTACGTCGTCAACAGGTACAAGAATTTCTCCATCGGTCAAATGATCATTGTCCTGCACTCCATGCATCGGTATGGTTACGAGAAATGCAGAGTGGCGGGGTTGATAAGTCACATTGCGCATCGGGTTTTGGAGACGTGCCAAAGGGGGGAGGCCTCCAATCGGGGCGAAGCCTCCAATCGGGGAAATGCTATCACCGGAGGGGGTACCATTGCCGCTTTACCCTGCAAGGGCACCAAAAAGAGGAGCAAAAGAGACAACTCGGTTGAATACGAAGGGGATCCACAGTGTGACTTCAACGCAGACGAACGTACTCGACGGAGGAGAGGCTCTTCCCCCTCTGCTTTCCTATCAGGAACGGATGACTACGCTTCTATATTCGATCTGCACAATAAGTACGAGTTAATCCTTTTGCACACGCTCAGCTGCTACAATTACTGCAACAACGGTTTGCTTCGCGTCCTCCTGTGTGAAGTTAAGAGGAAGCTATTCACAGCGTACAACGAAAAGGAAGTATGTATGTTCCTGTCTGCTGTGAGTAACTATTTCGCCATACCGACAACAAAAAGGTTTGAAGTGTATGTGACGGATGAGGAGAGTAATATAAATGAAGACAATCAAGTGTGTGCCTCCCAGTTAGTACGAACAGTGGTGATAAGGGAGAAAAAGCGGCTGCGAAACTACACCAAATTTAGCATCGCCACAATTTATATTGTCTTGTCCAAGTTAAATTTCTTTTACGAGAATAAACATGCAGATGTTTTTTTCCTGGACAAGTTGTTCGTTGCGAAGTATTTTCCAGAAAAAAAAAAAAAAAAAATGTTTTTTCCCGTTGAGGAGGATAACATAACGGCCAAGACGATAATAAGTTTGTTGTTTTCTCTCATTTTAAATGGCCAAGGGGATGTCACTTACTACGGGGCTCTGTTTGATACTTTGATGCTGCAGCTGTGGGATGGCACGGAAGGGGCCGGCACAGGAGGGGTCTCCACAGAAGGGGCGTCTACAGAAGGGCCCTCCACACACGTCCCCCACGACGTCAAGAAAGCCATCCGTGCACTGCAACTCCTGTCCGTGCAAAATTCCCACCTCCTCTGTGTGATTTACACATACCTACATTTACACAACATGCTTTCCCAACTACAAAACACCAACTTACATTTTTTCCTCTTCCTCTTGAGTAATTTTAACTATATGAATTGCACGCACTTGAGGCAGCATGTGTCGTCCCAAATTCACGCCGAAATTAACGCGACCATTGGATTGATAAGGAATAAAAAAAAAAAACAATTCGTCCTCACCAACGAGTGCTTCGTTTTTCCCTACTACGTGGATATTTGCCTGGGCGGTCCCTGGGCGTGACGGTGAAGGTAAAGGAAACAGGCGAAGAATACGGAGAACGTTACCGTGAAGGGAGATGACGTGTATGCCTCCCCTGGCGGAAACCGAAACAACCGTTGGTAGAGCCAGCCATGCTTATCTCTCTTGCACGCCCAGTAAAGAAAATGTGAAACCTTATCGCTACACCCTATCCGCTCATACTACGACCCAGTTGCGGTCGCCCCTCGCACGTGCGCGGCTCATTTGGCAACACCCCATTTCCAGCGCATTGCCTTTTTTAAAGTGGCTCATTTTGCACTGAAGAAGAAATAGGCACCACGCTTTTCCATTTTTTTGTGCGCCCCCCAACTGGGTGCCCCGTTTTTTTAGCCGCGAAAAAAAAAAAAAAAGGCGCTACTTTTTTTTTTGCAATTTTGTGTACCTTTTTTGCAACTTTTCCCCATTTTGGTAAGTTCTCCCCCTTTTTCGCAACTTTGCCTCTTTTTTGCAACTTTACCCCATTTTTGCAATTTTTAAAAAGTTCCCTTTCCCGCCCACGGGAGTAGAGACCAACACTTTTGGGACGGCCCAACTGGCCGAAGCCCTCTCGACAAGCTTCTTCTTTTTTCTTCCTGTCCCCCGAAGTTTTCACATGTGCCTCACTGGGGTTTATGCCTCATTAGGCGCAGCAGATTGAGCAACTCAGTCGGTGAAAAGAAAGTCTCAGCTGTGCACTCCGAGGAAGCGTCTCGCCAAGGAGAGTCGTCGTAGCCAAAAAGAAAAAAAAAAGGCTCGTGTAGCACCTTCCCGCCACTTTCCTTTTCATACCCGGAACAAAAAAAGCCACAGCACACACACCATGTCACAAGATAAAGTGACGAAAATAGTCAAGGAGATAAACACCTTGAAGACGAGTATGTCCGCAGTGCGACGCAGTTTGCAGTCACGAGGAAGCGATTGAACGGGGGGTTCTTTTACCACTCCTTTGCCATTCTTTTACCGTTATTTTACCATTCTTTGTCTTTTTCTTTTTTCCCCCCCCTCTTTTCGCCCTTTTTAAGGCTGCGAGAAACTGAACGCCCAGCTGGAGGAACTGATCACGCAGAAGGTGGAAAATGAAATTCTCCTCGAGGTAGGACGATGCCGTCCATCTGTCCGTTTTCCCGTCTGCCCATCCGCCCACATAGTTCCGCAGGTATGGGCGTTGTTACCCTCGTACAAATACACATGCGTACCTTCCTTTTCCGTGCGTCTTTCCCGCAGGAGGTTAAAAATTTGGAGGATGATGCCGTGTTGCACAAGCTGGTCGGCTTGATTTTGGTTCGCGAGGAGAAAAATAAATGCTACGACACCATCACACGGAGGATTCACTACATCACAGGGGAGATGTTAGAACGATTGGCGGCATCTCCGCACGCTGAGTTGTGTCCACCCGTATATCTATGCAGGGTGGAGTGCAGATCGGAAAGCAGAGAAAACTGCCGCTCAAACTACCGCTCAAACTGCTGCTCGAATTGCAGATTGACTAGCCAAGCAAATGCTGCCTACCCTCCCCTACAGCGAAAGCAGGAAGAAGGTCATCAGCAACTCAGAGGAGAAACTGAAGAAGCTCTTTAGCGACGTAAGATAGATAGGATGGACCCTGTGCGCAGATGGCCTTCACGCCGATGTGCTTCACCCTATGTAACTCACGCCATGTGATCCATGCTCCGTGCCCCGCCCCTTTCCGTTACACATTAGAGGCATACACCATTGTTCGTATTTATAGACGTTCTTTTCTTTTATTTTTTTCCCACTTGCATCCCATTTCACAGCTGGAAGTGCACACCAACCAAAGAAAAGTAGCCATCCCGCAGCCATAAGATGGAGGAAAAAAAAAAAAAAAAAAAAAAATTACGCAGACATGCTGACGATGAAACAAATGGGAGCGGAGTTGCCTCTCCTGCAAAGGGGGTCCGATCCTCTCTCCCTAGGTGGAATAAACTTCCCCCCTTTTCAGTTTCTTCATTTTTTCGTAATCGATATTTTGCATCTTGAAGGCGAAGCTGCAGGAAGGTAAAGCGGCGCATGTGATGAATATGCATACGCACAGTCGTATGTACAATCGTGTGCACAATCCCATGAACAAACGTGTGTACAGTTGTGTGTAGAATGGTATGTAGGAGGACGCGCCTGCGTGGCTCACCTCATCATGTTGGCCTTGCGCGTGAAGTAATGCATCTTCTTCCAGTAGCCCCTTTTCTGGAAGGCCCGTTTTCTGTGTCGCTTGTCATTTCGAACCTTATTAAACAGCAGCGTGCTGTTCTTCTCCGCCATGCGCGGACCCTCCACTAATATGTTAACGTCGTTAAAAAATACATTCGAATGGAGGGATTCATAATTGGACTTAAGTGTAATGGCCCGATATGCCGTTTGTTCCTCCCGCAGAGAGTAGTCCTCTTCTCTTAAAAACAATTTCAAGTTACACAAACGTTTTGCGTTTCGAAGGGTGTTCCTCAGCACGAAAAGCATTTTGACCGCTAGCCGGGGGGGAGAGAAACGGAGCAGCCGATCCAAGAAGCAGAGCGATGGGAAGAAAATGGCAGATGATATGGAAGAAGATGAGTGTATACACAGGTGCGCTTCTTCGCTTCTCAGCTTCTTGGCTTCTCCCCCCCCACAAGGCAGTCGAGCAGGCGGCCAAGCCACATGAACGGTGATATAGTGGATCCACAAAATTGCCCCAGGAAAAAAAAAAAAATAAGAAAATAAGAAAAAATAATATAAAATAAACACAAATAAGTGGATAGTCGGGCCACTGGGCGGCGCGCCACACCACCGCTAGCCACTCTGCACGCGCTGTTTGGGGCGACAAAAATTGACAGCTTGAAAGGGCGAAGCATGCGTGCGGCGGAACTCCTTTTTGTAATTCTGCCACGTCGGGCCGCGGGTAATCGCTCACCCCGATAAGCTGCTAATCGCCAGACTGGTAACCTCCTTCTGCCTGCCCCCCGGTCACACCAAGAAGAAGGAGTCCAAGCTGGAGATGCCACAAATGGCGCCCCCCTCGTTCTCCCGGTAGTTCTTCGTCCTCACCAGGTACCCCTTCTGCTCATTCAGCAGGTTCACATTGTTGCAAAACACAAAATTGTGGAAGAGGCTAATTTCGGAGATGGATTGCTCAGGGGTGAATTCAACGACGTGGGATTTGCCCTCGCATTGGACGGACGAAATCTTTCCCCCCACTCCTCCGGCCTCACCTCTATTTGACGAATCAGCATGACCCTCCCCGCTTGGGCACACCCTCGTCCTGCAATGCACCGCAGTGAAAGGAGTCGGAAACAACTTCTGCATGAGGACATAAAAGGAGAGCTTATCCCGTTCCTCCGGTTTATAGTAAAGCATGAGTTTTTCCCGAATATCTCTGCCGTGTAGGTTGTTTTTTCCCCCTTCTCGCTGCGGCTTGAGCAAATACTGGTGATCCTCCCTAATGGCATGCGAAACGATGTCCTCATTCTGGCTGAGCGACGGGTCCACCTGCAGGGCGAATGTTTTCTGTAAGAGGTTCATGTCGTGTTGTATCTGCTTGTCTGATTTTTTCGTCTTGTTTAAGTCTAGAGAGAGGTAGTGTCTTAGGATGGACTCATCAAGGAGGATCATTTGTATTCGTTTGGAGCCCACTAGCTGGTAAGGCACTGAGGGAATTTTAACAGCATCACTGAATTCGAGTAGCTCCCTCACGTGCCAAATGATTTCATTAAAATGATCTGGTGAGTAGAGTGATCGAAAGTACACCACGCTGACTTCTAACACGTGTTGTCTATAATTGCGGCAATCATATGGGTCATATTCTTTGACATTCAAATCCAGGAGCAGTTTCCCTGGAGCGAGCTTCTCCTTGTTGGGGTCCCCTTGACATGCCTTCACTCTTTTGAATGTCTCTTCTAACGTCTCGTGTGGGTAATTTAAGAATATTTTTCTTTTTTCATACAGAAGTTGCAACTCCTTTATCGTTAGGCATTTTTGACTTAGGTCCATTTTATTTAATTCATACTTGGTCCTATATTTATCGAAACAGTTGAGATCCTCATTGTGTAGGATCGAGATGATAATTGTTTTGTTGCGTCCTTGCAGAGGCTTCGTTTTGGTTAGGTAAGCCTCGTGGCACTTGTTCATGCACGTGACTATGCCTTCCAGGAAGTCATTTTTGAATTTCCCCTCCAGGATGGATCCCACGTCGGTTTGGGGCTGTGCTTCCCCATGTTGCCCTTCCGGTTTCCCCTCCCCCTCGAGGGGGAAGCACTCCCGGTAAACCTGCTTCAGCATGTTCTTGTGCGCCTCGAATAGCACAGTCGACAGATTCCCAAATGCCACCGAAATGGTGTTGTACTCGATTTGTTTAACTTGACAGTTTTGTTCGCTTCGTACGGTTGGTTCGCTTGGCCGGATTGACCCGCTTTGTACGGTTGTCCCGCTTTGCCCATTTTGTCCATTTGGCCCGATTTCCCCGCTTTCCCCGCTTGGTCGCCCCCCCCCACTGCTGTCCAGCATATAGTCCGACCTGCCAATAACACACCGTATGTCCTTTCTTATGTCTCTTCCTGGGCCGTCCTTACTTAGATAGACCCTCTCGCAAATCCCAATCAGCCTGCCATAAAACTCGTCATAATCTTTTATCCCTTCAAACACGCTTAATAAAAAATGCATATCGCAAACGATGTTGTCAAACAATTCCGAGTAAAGAAGTGTGCAATCCTGGCAGAGCCGTAGGAGACTTCGACTTAGCTTCTGTGGAATCACTGAGAATGAGAACAGTTTGGGTTCTTGGAGGTATCTGATGTTACCCCTTCCTTGGCACGCTTTGGTGAAGATGTAGAACGCATCACTATTTAGATAATCCATCAAATCTTGTATTAGGAGTCCTATCCGTGCGTAACTCAGGTACTCGTTATTGTCTTTCTCCTCCGTGAAGAAGTTAAGAATCTCTCGCTGCACCACTCCGTAGAAGTGGTTCACCCTACTCTCTAGGTCACCCTCCATGAGGGCCACGCCGTTGCCCTCGGCAGTGCGCAGTTAGCCGCTTTCGCTACCTGGCGAAATGGCGCCAGGGGGGGGCGTCTCGGAAGTGCTTCTCGCGGGGGGAGAAATGCTTCGGCGGAACTTCTCCTCCGTGTAGGTCCTTGGACCAAGTCGCTCCTTCGTTTGGATGAGCTGGTAACAACTGGCGACGACGCGCATCTGTTGGGATCGGCTAGATAAGGTGCCCTTTTTTCCCGCTCAGATGCAGCACACTATCTGGGCGGCTATTTTTTTTTTTTTTATCATTCCGCGTCGCCCCCCTCTACGATGATCAGTCTCAGGAGCAGAAACCGTAGCAAATGTTTCCACAACGCGCGGTGCATAGCTGTGCCAAAGGTTATTTCTTCCAAGTCGGGTTATCCACGGCGTCATCTCAGAAAGAGAAGCCCCTTCTCAGTGTCGTAGTTACTTTACGAGGGAGGGAGTAAACCCCAAAAGGTTGTTTCACCGGACTAGCGTTCTTGCTCGTCTGAGCAAATAGGGAGGGCACGCACAAGCACATTCTTGTAAGCCCCCGTGTGAGGAGCGGTACCATTCGCGCCGCCCCAGATGATACTCCGCGGGAAGGGGCAAACCGCTAATCGGATAATGGGCTAAACCGCGAACGGCGAACCGCGAATGGCGAACCGCTTTGGCGATCGCCCCAACTGGGGCTTAATTAACGAACCGCTTTGCTCATTTTTGCTTCGATTTTCCAACGTGTTCGGTTTGCAAATGGTTTTCCCGCAGTGGGGGGGCGCCACTTTCTGCGATGAAGTTGGGTGTGGGAAATAACCCCGTGTAGTGGACAAAAAAAAAAAAAAAGAGATGAAGGGTACGGGTCCGCAAAAAAAAAGAAAAAAAAAAAAAAGCGAATGGGGTAACCACGACTATATGAGCCTCTACTCAGTTGGAAGGGGTTCCCAAACATAGCTATGTAACTGCTGGGTGAACGGAGACAGATGGGTACAGTACAGCACCTCTTCTGAGAGACGCGACGGAGGGGAAAAGAAGCCCCAATCATATATTAAGATAAATGGTGGAGTTAAACTCCGTGTCGCACCTTTTAAAGACAATGGAGGTGTCGTACCCTCCCGCATGGTCCGACTTTTTCAGCTCCTGTTCTGAGGTAAATCTACGCAAAGGAATGTCTGTGTCATTTTTGATGGCAGGGTTTAGTGGCTGTGGTTGGCACTCAGTAATGTTCGTCACCTTTATTTCATCAAAGAGTTTGGGATTCTCTTTAACAAGCGAATGCACAAATGTCTCATTGTGAGATTTCTTAATAAGTGGTCTGTGCTTAATAATTTCATAAAAGTTGCCTTCCTTTTTTACAATATCCTGGATTTTTTTTTTTTCATTTTCAAATATGATAACATTATTTTCTTCTATAATTTTTTGATTTTCCTTTTCGTATTTTTTAATGTACGCTTCGATTATTTTTCTCTTTTTCTCGTCCGCTTCGTTTGTTAAGAGGTAGATGATGTCTTCGATTTGCTCCAAGTAGTTATTGTAAAGAGGCGTATTTTCGAAGTTGTGTCTTTTTTTGTTAAAAATTTCGGTCAACTTAGATCTGATGTTTTTTTGGTTTGAGTACATTCTCTCTTCGATGTCAAAGGGAGTCACATTTTTTTTCGTCACGCCTATTTTGCAACGTGGGCAATGCTGCTTGTTATGTTGACTGAGTTGTTTCTCCAGGCATTCTCCGCAGATCTTGTGTTTACAAATGTCAAAGTAGAACAGCTTCTTTTCATTGCTCGTGCACACGTCGTCTAGGCAGCTGCTGCATTTGTATTCATCCATGGGGAGGAAGGGGGAGGCGTTTCTGTGTGGCGGTGCAGTTCTGTATTGTGGCGCTGTGTTAGTGTGGCGGTGCGTGCGTGGGCTCCTACACGTTTGTGCTCGTTGGACGAATGGAGCGGGGGCACCCGAAACGGCTCCTTTCCGAAAACTGGTCCCCTCCTACGACGCATCTTCCCTACTCTTCACGCCTTCACCAAGCCGTACGCACCTTCTGAAATGACAGCTACGGTTGAATACGCTGCTCTGTACGAACATTCCAAACGGCCCTGCCAAAATTTCATTTTTGGAAAAAAAAAAATTGGCCAAAAAATTTAAAGGCATGTATAATACAATCCCATTGACAACCTCCTCACCACAGATCATCCCTAATCCCACAGGGCGCGTGTAGGAAGAACTGCAAACGGATTAGTCCCTCCACTTAACCATTTTGATTTTATCAACTGGATGAGAAATACCGTTCGCAAATTTTGTTCATGCGAGTGGAAACATTTGCGCAGTCGAATGTTACAATTTTTGAAAACGTTGATGCCAAGAAAAATTGATCAATTTTGCATCGGCCTGAACGTTCGCTCGTTGATAGCACTATTCGTGAGCCGCCTCCCAGATATTCCTTTTTCGCCACCTTTCTCAAAATTTCGCCTCCCTTGCATGCACCTTTGTGAATTTAAGAAATGCCACAGGTTAGCTGCGAAAGGAATTATTTTCCTCTTTTATCCATTTTTTTTTTTTTCTTTTTTAATCTTCTTATGTGCAAGTGGTGAACACCTCTGTATGTTCGCCCCATTTAACGGCAACACCTCTTTGATCGCCTTCAACCGAGCCGCAACTTTGTGTGTTCCCTTTTTTTTTTTTTGTTGTCGTTGTTCTCTGAATTGATCGGATTCGTCATTACCTTTTGTAGGGTCTGTTTCGTCTCCCATTGAGGTGAATACTTCCTTCACAGAAGATGCATCATACACAATGGGGAAATCTCCAACTTTACCGTTGCAGTGGAAACAAACAGAGGAATACATTTTGAAGAAGGCCCCTCCCCCCCCTTTCGAGTTATTCCCATTTGGCGAAAAATGTCCCTCACAACTGGATGCCAATGTAGGGGACGCAAGTAAAATCATTGTTTTGCCTCTTATTTTAACAACGGGAGAAGTAGACCTCCGCCGCTGATCCGTAGCTTCTTTTTTTTTTGTTCACTGCCCTGTCCTTAACTTTTATAATCCGTTTGGGAAAAAATTACTTAACATTACACACATACGAGAGGATTCTTTTTTTTTTTTTTTTTAATGACTCGCCAAATCGTACATTTTTGTATGAACAGTTTATGCGATATTTTGAATGGCTAGGAGGCTCCCTTCTCGATATAGAGACAAAAAGAAGCCTTTCTCACATATAAACAGAGCAACTGGGTAACGGTTTTGGTTTTTCTCCCCCTATCGCACATCGTATAACCGGTTCTCTTACCCCCTTTTTATCTGTTCGTTCTTACAGTTTGCATACAAAAGCGCATCTGCACAGAGGTAGGTAGCCATTTTAGGAATTTTTTTTTCCCTGACTTGTTCATATTTTTCACAATGCATGTGTGCAATGTGTTTCAATTTGGTTACCTACACTTGTCTTTTGGGGATTTTTTTTTTTTTCTGACTTGTTCATATTTTTCTTAGCGTACATATGAAATACGTTTCGGTTTGGCTACCTTGTGACCGTGGTTTGTGCAATCCATTAGTACTCATTACCATTTTCTTCCCCCCCCCAACTTTGTGGGGGCAAAAGCTTTAACGACATCGTTTTATGTTTTCTGCCCTGATGTTGCCATAATGTGATACTCTTTTTTTTCCACTACGCAACTGTGCAAGAGGAAAAATAAGGCTTCCCGCTTTGCGATAAAAATGTGGGGCTACTTCGATTGAGTTGATTTTTCTTTTAAAACGTATACAGATTAGCAGTTTTGTGCCATCCCCTTTGGCAATTTTTTACACTCGCCACATCCATTTTGTGCGCCGGTGGAGAGAAAACCTCCTCGACGCGGCGTCATGCGGAGTGTCTCATTCCACAGCGCTTGCGTTAAATCGGGCTACGCTATTGTATTTTTTTGTTTCATTACTTTGTTATTTTTTTATTTTTTTTTTGGCTCACCTCTCCCCAGTGCAAAATGGACAGACTGACCCACCTAAATGAGTACGCTAAAATTTTCCACTTTGGTACCGATCAAAGGCCACGAGAGGAGAAGCACTGTGGAGAGAAGCACGATGCAAAGTGCTCCGAGAAGGAAAGGCATTATTCAAAGGTGGAAGGAAAAAATGCCTTCATATCGCCATCAAACAGTGTAGACGCGAGAGGCGCGTCCAGAAAGTTACACCCGTGCAGGGAGAGCAAAAATGAATACCAGGCAAAGAGAGTACGCAAAACAAATGAATACCACCAGTTCGGGAGTGAAATACCCTCCTCCACCTTGAGCTTAACACCAGAAGGTCACAAAAATTTGAATCACGCATATTATGAAATGAAGAGCAGCCACACCAGAAAGACCCTAAACTCTTGTCTAGAACAAGTTTCTATATGCAAGAGGTGCTACTTGAACGAGTTGCACGAAAGGAAGAGAAGGACTGCAGTTTATACATTAGAGTTTAATAATCTGGTCGACTCTGAACCTGTGAGTGGACATCATTTAGTGAAGAGGAATGCAACCCTTGCGCATGGCTTGAAACACAAGAATAAGTATCATCAGGAGTGCTCTTCTACGGAAAGAAATAAACGAGTAATGATCGTGGAGAAGCTGCCAGAACAAATCTCGCAGAAGAAAATTTTTCTCCAATTTTTGAACTCCATTTTTAGCGTAAATTAGACATGATCCAAGTGGATGGGAGGAATGTGTCGTCTACTGGTTAGCAGCGTAGCCGCATGGGAAGGCTATGGCGAGGGTACCTCCTTATTTTATTTTTTTTTTTTTTTCCTCCCCATTCTGATGTGAGAACCTATTGGGAAATAATTTACAACTACGTCGTTAGAGGGGCATATCGGCGTCGAATTGTTATTAGGATTTGTCTTCAAGTTGATGTGATCCGAAGGGCGAGAGAAATGGCACACGGGTCGTGCAGCTCGTCGTGCATGGTACTATAATTGCTGCTCTTCCCTTCACAAGGTCTGCCCCTACATACATCTCCTCAATATGGATACTGCTCTGCATGGAGAGACCACGGCGCAGATATGTCTGCCTCGTTCTGAAACTGCGCCCACTCTTTCCCGACTGCCCCTTTTTGTGCACCCCACCCTCGTGTCGATTTTTTACTCATGCACGAGGTAAACATTTGGGGGGCAAAAAAAAGAAAAAAAAAAAAAAAAAAAGAGGCACATAATTATGCCTTCCGCTGCTCTTCTTGGCATTTTTTACTCTGACCCTGATATGCGAATTTTTTTTTTTTTTTTTTTGTCACCTGGGTGAGATAGCCTTTGGCGTGGCACTTTTTTGGTTCCACTTTTTTTCATGTCCCTTTTGATGGCACATTTTTGTCCCGCTTTGTTTTGCACCTCTTCCGTTTGCAGCTCTCCCTTTTGTACTGCCCATTTTTGGGCCCTCCCGCCAGAGCAATTTTTTATTCCAATTTGCCACGGCTGTCGCGTCTTCCTCACCTTTTTGGGAACTTCCCTTTTAATGGTAGGGCGGGCCTGCGCGGATGCAAGCCTGTCCACCTGTCTAACTCGCTCCAACTTGTGACCGCCGGGGGTGACCCCTCGCCAGGTCGAAATTTTACCTTTAAAAAGGGAAGAATCATTCCGAGGGCCCACCTTTAGAGAGCTGACCCTATGAGCGGGATAAGGGCGCTGTACCTTTTTGCCTCTGCGGGAGACGGAGGAGGGCATTCCCTGATTTACGAGAGGCGCTTCCCCAACGTGGAGGTGTGCGCGAGAAGTGTGCAGGTTGGAGGAGAAAAAAAAAAGAAACAGAAAAAAGATGGAAAAAGAAAAAGCAAAAAGGTGGAGAATGGAGCAAAACGGTGGAAAAAAAAGAAAGAACTGGCGTGTAAATGCTCACCTCCATACGTGTAACGGTAACGATTCTGCACCCCCCCCTCTTCGCAGACACACAGTTACGTGAATCTTCCCAAACTGAGAAAAGTAGAACAACTACTTAAGGAGCAGATAATAAAAAGAAGCTTCCAAGAGGTACACACACACTCTGAGTTTGTCCAACTGAACAGAACAATATGTTGTTATTCTGTACGTGTCAAGAATAAAGTTGTTTATCCCTTCTTGCTGATGAGAAGTAGCAGCTTCATTGTGATAGTCCTTCTCCTGATGGAAGATCCGAACAATGGAAGTCCCAAGGTGGAGGCTGCAAATAATGCGGAGAAGTTATTGTATTACAATTTTATGCAGGATTTTTTAACCTACGTGGAAGGTAAGATGGCCAAGCGAGCTTCTTTCCTTTTATCCCCTTACGGACAAGGGAACCACAACAAGGTAGTACTCCTCCAGAAGATTCGCACCATCGGGGATGCGTACATAACTTCTACCATTCCATTTGGTAGATTTCTCGGACGGAGAAGCTCTCCCTTTATAGATTATCTGAAAGGAGATATGTACAAAAGGGGAGACATTTTACAGAGTACCTTCTTCCCCTTTTACAATTTTTTGATGTTGGAAAATAGGGACACTGTTCACCTGGGGAAAGGACCCACAACTGTGTGCAGCAGTTCTTTGGTGGAAGGGGGTACAGAGTGTCGCTTGTCGGAGGGGAGACGTCAATTTACCTCCCCGAGTGATCAAAGCGAGAGCTATAAGGATAGCATGTTTAGCAGCAGTGATTTGGAAGACGCAGACAGTTCAGTCGAAACAGTGGAAAAGCTCCCCTGCGCATCTGTCAAGAGGAAGGAGCCAAACGATATTCTGTACCTAAATGGAAAGCCTCCCTTTGTACCTCCCACAGAAGGCACTTGCACAGACAGGAATGTAAAAGAGACCTTCTTCAAGCTACTTATAAAGTTCTACAGCTTGGCCGGGAGGGACAACCTCATCAGGGGGGATAACCCGGGGGAGCCTCCACTTCCACCCAATGCATATTATCACTTATATCTTTTCTTCTTATACAATTACTTCTCCCGTTTGGGGAAGCACCAACAAATCGCCATTCAAAACGACTCTGCTGAGAATGAGAGCGTCAGGATTAGCAGGGAGAACATTCATACCTACGTCCCGCTTTATGTACACGAGTAATGAGGCCATCATGGGGGGGAGAGAAAGAGATAAAGAGAAATAATCCTCTCTCCACAAATGAGCCCCCTCGTTGACCAGTGGGCCAACTGCAAGGAGACACATTTTCCATGTGTACCGTTCTTAACTCCCCTCCCAGGAGAAGCAACCGGTCGCCCACTCACCTGTTCATTACGGAGGAGCTCACCGGGTTTGTAACGAACTCGGAAAATCGGAGCGGGAACGTGAAGGTTCGAATGGGTCCTGCGTGGGAGTGTTTCTGCGTCAGCTTCCTTATGAGTGTGTCCCTTTCGGCGTCAACCTCTTTATGCGTGTGTCCCTCCCCGCTTCCGCCTCTTTATGCGCGTGTCCGTTCACGCCATTCGCCCCCCCCCCTCTGCAGGGCGAAATAATACTGCAGTGCGATGACGAACGGTACTTGGACGTCGACATGACGCTCGAGCCGGACGACCATGTCTGCGATGTGTACGCAGGAGATTTTGTTAACGTGGAGAAGAGGTATACTCAATGGAAGGGGAAACGACCAAAGGGAACAAAGAAGTTACCATCTGTTCCGTGTGCATACAATGAAGCGCGTCTCAGTTGCATACAGACCGCATGAATGTGCCCTCCACTGATGACACACCCACTTTTTCATCGAACAGGGGGAAGAGTCTACACATCAGAGCGGCTACCAAACATACGAGGAACACAGTGCTAACGTACTACTGCAGGGATGTACCTTCTCCCCTCATCGGTAAGTGCACAGTAAAATTGGGGGCCGAACCGGCTAACACGATAATGATGCCTTCCGATTGCACTTAAAAGAAGACACAGCGGTTTAGTGATAACCCAATTGGAACCAAATACGAGCACAATACAAACCCACTTCGAACCCCCCTCAGGATTCTACACCCTTAAAAGGGCCGCCAGCGGGAAATGTGCTCAAGTAGACGTGGGATTGCAGTGGAATAGGAACACGCCTTCCATAACGTTTGAAAAGAAAATAGCGGAGCCCTTTTTTGTGCGACTGCCCTTTCCCGGCGAAATTGTTAGCCACACTTTGAAATGTAACTTGGTAAGGCTCGCGAGAGGGGGCACACACATGGCGAAGCGGCACAGTGAAAAAAAAACAAAAAAAAAAAAAAAAAACACAAAAAACAAATCAACAAAAAAAACTTTCCAGTGAGAGAACCGCTTGAATGCAGACGGCGCGGGCCAAATGGCTGATTTTCTTTTTAATTACTCCTTCCTACTCAGGGAAAGATAAAAATTGAAGGCAGGCAGGAAATAAAGTGGACGCTTCTTGACCTTCCGAGTAATCTCCTCCGCGCAGGAAAAAAAAATAAAAAAAATAAACATAATGCAGAACAAAGGGATGGACGCAAAATGATCACCTCTACATCGAGACGTTGTTGCCACTCCGTTTCGCTGCGCATGCATGTAGGAACCTTCTCCTTTATTATTTTTTCCCCTTTCTACAAACTTCGTTGCAGGAGAATCCCGCGCATGCCTGTCTGGAACGGTCCAACTTAGCCATACGGGTAAAAATATCTCTTTTCCAAAAGTGCACTGTGAAAGGAAGTGGACAACGTTCGGAAGTAGCCCCATTTGGAGTTTCCTCACGGGCATTTGCCAAAGCGGAGTTTTTTTCAATTTTTTCTGTTTTTTTTTAACTTGTCCTGTCCGATGTAGAGGAGCGGCTTACACGTCGTTTATGCTTACGTATGCGTACGGCCCTTTTGTACTTTGCCTGTTGGTGTAATTTTTTGCATTTCCCATTTTTCATTTTTTTTTTTTTTCTTTTTTTTATTTTCAGACTTGGCGGCAAAACAGCTATCTGCGGAAGTCCACTTGTTGTCCAAGTGCGCTTACTCCAAAATGGCGGTGACCCACGTGAGCGAGGAGATACACCCGCAACAGTTCTTCCACACCCAGGGGTTGACGCTGCTCAGTTCTTAGCCCCACTGACACGTTCGCCTTATTAGCAAATTAGCAGTTAACGTATTTGCGCATTTTCCCAAACTTAACGTGCCGGTTGAATTTTTTTAAAAAGTGATTCAAGTAGACGTCCTGCGGAGAGAGGCGGGGTGGAGGAAGGTATGCAAGTGGGTGACATGCTTCTGCGGAGGGAAACCTTACGCGGTAGATCCCGCTGTCCCGCTATGGAAAAGATAGAAACGCGCCCTTTTTTTATGAACCATTCCAATGGTACTCACCGAGTAGGCCGTGTTTGCGCAGGACAAAATGACCTTGTACAGACGTTCGCTCTTTATGTTTATAATTTTTTTTATCAAAATCTGAGACAGGATTTTGTAGAGAGTGTCATTTTCTGTGTGTTTCTCCGTTTTGGAGTACCCGTATTTGTTTTTGGTGACCCTTCCGTTTTTGCATCCCTGCAGTGGGTGGAGCAACATGTGGTGAGGCGCAACGGTTGCTACCTTTGGGGAGGGCGTCTGTCCGATTAGCCGCGTAACACATCATCAGCGTAACCGATTAGCAGCCTAACCGCTGGGCTTCCCCTCCAGCTTCTCCTCTTACCTGAATAACTTGAAAAATCGTGAGGGCGTAAAACAAGTCGGCCACTTGGTTCACGTCGAGGCGCACCAGGCTGTTCGCCCAGAGCGGCAGGGCCTGCAGGCTCTCCTTCAGTATGCGCTCTTCTGCGTCACTCAGCTGCAAAGAGGGAAGTGGTGGATGAGTGGAGCGGCATGTGTGAAGAGGAGGGAGTGGCAGCTGAATGGAGTAATCACTTGTGTAGGGACGAACCTCGATCTGCCACAGGTGAGAAAATATGTGGGCGAAATAGGTCCCATCCGTGAGGTTAAACTTAACGTTCGGCTTGGATTTAATGAACTCGTTGATGTCACCCATCGTGACGGTTCCTGGCTCGTCTCCATAGTTGCGATAAAAGAGGAAGGTCAGGTTTGAGTCGTCGAAGTGGCGCTCCCACTGCTGCGGTGGCGGATGCGCCTTGCCATCTTGTTGTTGCGGCTGCGTCTGCCCATCTTGTTGATGTGGCTGCGTCTGCCCATCTTGTTGATGTGGCTTCGTCTCCTGTTGCCGCTCCCCCCGCTGCTCGTTCCTCCGGATTAGCCGCTCCACAAGCGCGCGTTGCTCCTGGCTCAAATTTTGCGCATTGTACTTGTGGACGTTTTTCTCCCGATCCGCTTGGAAGTTCACCCGTTTGAGGAACTCGATTTCGGCTGGGCTCTTTTCACACGCGAAGGGGAAGGCAGACAGAAGTTTCAATTCGATCAGCAGCACGACGTGTTTGATGGTGTCCATTAAATCGGTGAACGTCTTCTCGGTCGGCTGCCAGTCGTAGTCGTGCCATACAATTAACATTTCATCGTCTAAATTCAGCTTCTTCAGGTTGGAATTGGCGTCGCAGTTGAAGGGGGCGAAGGGGTTCTTCTCTCCTGCGAAGTAGGCCCTCCTCGGTACATCAGCGCTTCGGTCTAGGACCATTTCGTCGTTCTGATTTCGAATTTCATTCTGATTTTGGTTTCGATTTTGATTTTCATTTCCATTTCCACTCTCACTTGCATCTTTTTTCTTTTTCCTTCTTTTTCCCCCGCTCCACCCCGATAGGATATAACCCGGGGGAGAGATGGGCCCCCCGGAGTGGCCTCCTCCCGTTTCCTCCCTGGGGTGATAAATTCCCAGCGTCGCGTTGTGCACACCCACATCGAAGGTGGTGCCAAACTCTTTGCTAATAGTGTAGAACGATTTTAGCAGAGGGACGAAGTTGGCGTCCCCCCTCGGGGTGTCCTCTAAGACGTGCCTAAAAAGGGAGTGAAATAACTTGGAGGAGTACTCCCTGTCTAGAAATGTGTAAAAAGGGCTCAGTCGTGTAAGCTGGTACAGCGTCTGGGCATTCCTCAAATGGCTATACGCCTGATGGGTACACAGGTAAAGAAGCAGGAGGAGCAACTCTGCGTCGATCATTTTATATTTTGTGAAAGATAAAGATAAGGTGGTAACATCGTCTGAGTTTATCTGTATGAGATTCACCTGCGGGTCATCCGCCTGCGATTCATCCAACACCAGTTCTTCCGTGAGAGACCAGTCCAATCGATTCAGCAGAAGGGTCCATCGATTACTTCGCGTAATGAGATGAGTTATATATTTGTAAAATTTATCCACATAGTAATAATTGAAGATGTTGAAATGAAGGAGGAAGTCCAGAAAGCGCGTTACCTTCTGGACCGTCTTGATTTTATGCATATCAAGACAGACCTCTCGACATACTAGCTTGCAAAAATAGGGGTGGTAATAATTTAATTTCTTTATCTGCTCTGTTAGTAGTAACAAATCGTTGATGTTATAGAGGTCTCTTTTTTTTATGACAATCTCGATGAAGTGGGAAAGAAGAGGAGACAACAAATTGATCTGCTGACTCGTCCTGGAACATAACTGAAATAGTTCCAATTCATCGTAATTTTTTACCATTTGAAGAAGAGTATATTGTGCGAGATTATTTTTAAATGCTGGGTTGGTATTTTTGTAAATCTCAAAGAAAGGAAAATCATACTTATTTAAATTCCCCTTTTTTTTTCTCCTACTTTTGTCTATTTTATGCTTGTAGTATTTGCAGAGGTTGTTTCTCTTCTCCAGCTCATAGCTGTTCACAAAGAATTTATTGTACTGGACTTTTTTCCCATTCAGTGGTTTAAACTTCGTTTTGTCGTTTACGAAGCGGATTTTCTTCCCGATTTTCTCGTTTTCCCGCTTTATTTCGCTTAGGAAGGCCTTGTACCGCTCCATGGTAGGGAGGAGCGAGTAGCGGTCAGTTGTGAGCGGTGCGTGGTAATCGCTATGCAGTACTGTGTGACTCGTCACGTCACTTTGTGGAGAATCGTCATAAGGAGGAGGTTCCCTCGATTTGCCGCGGGCAGTTTCGAACTCTCAGCGCGCATGTAGGGCATCCTTTCCCTTAAAGGGAATTTTTCTTCCTTTTTGGCATCTCATGATCAGTTGGCGATTCGGCTCACCGTGTTGCACACCGCGAGATATTTTCTCACCCGCGCTTGTGGTGCCCCCCCTCTGGCGGAAAGGAAAAATTAGGACCAAAGAGGAGGACTACACGGGACGACCACATGGGACGACCACATGGGAGCCTCTTCACCGGTGTAGCTTCCAACTTTGTGAACGCCCCTCCTATGCTTAAGCCCCCTCTCCCCTGGAGAAGCAAAAATTCGACCGCAGTGGAAGAACCACACTCACATGCTCTGCAAGGTGAAAGGCGAAACGAATCGGTACCCACGTCAGGCGGGAAAAAAGAGAGCAAGCAATGGATCAAAAAAAAAGAAAAAAAAGAAAAACTCACTCTGCTGGTTTCGTACACCCTCCGCATAACTCAAATGCTGCTTCTCCTGGACGTATGTTTCCCCCTTTTTTTTCTCTTTTTTTTTCTTTTTTTTCTTTTTCTTCCCGTCCCTTTTGATGACAACCCATTAGACCTTTAAGGCTGATCTCAGCTAGCCATTTGCAAACAGAAGAAAAAAAAAAAAAGAGTGCACACAAGAGGGGACTAATTTATACACCCCTGAGGCAGCCAAAAGAAACTGTAACGAATCAAACGGAGGGACAAAGGAGAGTCCGTGGTGACCTACCAATTGGAGGAATCATCCCCTCCGCCGGAGGAGCAAACACCCATTTTGAAGCCGTTCGAATGCGTTTATTCGCCATTTGTGGGCTCCACCATCGCCAGGGGTGGACGCGGTTGATGCGGATGACACAGATGACGCGGTTGCCACTCTGCCCATCACCACACCAGGGAGCAGGAGCAGCAACAACGGGGCCATCCTTCATTTCGTTTTTTCACCTATTACGCTCAGTTTGAGCGCTTCATATTTGTTCTCCCCCGTTTGCCTACACATAATGAGTCTCTCAGGGGGGGGGGAAAGGTAGGTCGACTGAGGTGACATCTCATTTGTATGAAGAAACTTATGTGACGTGTACAGACATAGCTGTAGGCCCTCGACAGGCTTAACAATGATGCCCCCTTGCGAAGGTGCATACTCACGCGCGGAGTTTCTCCTCACACACTCCCGTGGGGTGATAAAACATTCACACCTAGAGGGTCAGCGAAACGGTTCGTACGTTCTACACGGACGGTGGAGAAAGTCGGCCAAGAAAGTGAATCAGTCGAGAAAGTCATCCGTCACAGCTCCTACCATGCTGCGTATCCTGTCGCGTGTGTATCGTTAATCGTTTCGCCTAATAATAGGACACCTCCGTGCGGCATGCTCCCCCAGCTGACAATCCCCATTGGGTTTAATCCACTGACGAGGCGGAACTAAGAAGGTGTTCCTGTTTGTGCTCCACTTCACGTCCGTGTGCACACATGTAGGTACATGCAGAGTACGGCGCCGCGAAGTAGTCGAAGCATCACCCGTTCGTTAAGTCACCCTGCCAGCAGAGAGGACACACCCAGGGAGTCGTCACGTCATGCGGATGGTTCCCCCGCTGTTGCAGCAAGGATACCCATGTGTACGTTGGCACGTAGGGATGGTCCTTAACATGATCGCACTACCATGTCGATTCTTCGGGGGGCCAGACCCCTCTTTTATTGCCCCTTCAGATCTGCTCATGTCGGTCATGAACCTTCAGCTTAAATGTGAAACATGCAATCATTTCTAATCAGGAGTGCTTTTTTTTTTTTTTTTTTTTTTAAACTGTCCGGTCACACAATGGATCATTTGGGGATGCCTTCCTCGAAGGGCTTCCTGGGGAAAACCAGTTCTGTTCCTTTTTTTTGATGCCTAAAAGGCACTTGTAATTTTGTTCCGTCCGGCCGTCCCCATCGCGGTGACTTGTCACTGGTAATTTCTCATTTGTCACTGGGTAACTGGTCGCCCGTCGCTGATCACTCTGCCATGCAGTCCCTTCGCCGCGTCACCTCTGTGTCACTTTACCGCTTCGTTTTTTTTTTCCCTTTGTGTACAATATGCCCCACCCGCGCGAAGGCTGTTTTTTTTTTTTTTCAGGTGAAAAATGAAAACAGGAAAAATATCGTTGAACATTTTTTCATGCCCCGTTCACGTAGATCACGTATGCTCGTTGCCGTCCCGGGGTATCTTCACCCTGTGTTTAATCTTCCTTTGCGTTAATGCTGCCATGCATGTTCGCACTAGTATTAGCACTCGCGTTCGCCTTCTGTTTCACCTTCACTTTCACTTTCCCATTTGGGCTCTTCTGATTTATCGATTTGCCCTTTCGTTTCAGCCTACCCTTCGCTCGCTCGCCGTTCGCTCACCCGTTCGTTCTTTTTCCTGTGCATTTTCCGCCGCCCCCCACTCTATTAGCGTTCTCTCTGAGCAAGCACGTATGATGAGCATGCCATTGAGTCACCTCCCGTTCATTTATGCAGATAGAAATGCTAATGCGTATGCATCATGTATGTCCCCCCATATGTGATGAACGGATTTGTG